CTCTCTCTCCTTCTCTCTCTCTTTCTCTCTCTCTTTCTCTCTCTCTTTCTCTCTCTCTCTCTCTCTCTCTCTCTCTCTCTCTCTCTCTCTCTCTTTCTCTCTCAGGGAAAAGGAAAATAAAGGATGGAAAACTGAGCCTTTCATCAGTGGATGTAAACACATTTTTGGTTTAATAATATGCTTTTCCTTCTTGGTGAGACTATCCAATAACAAAGCAACAGGCAAGCTAGCGCTTGCCATTCAACAAGAGTGGTTGTGTGGGTCTTGTTCATATCAGTGAATAGCTTATTTTTACAAAATTTCTAGAATAAGCTTCATAGATTAACTGTGACCTTGTTAATTATTCTATATTATATTAAAACCACCACTATTTGTTAACACAACATATATATTATATATTATGTATTATGTATTATGTGTATTATATATTATATAACAACTATTTATTAACACAACATATTGTTACAGGTGTGTATACAAACATATATAATATGTGCCTTTTTATTGCATTTTTTCATCTTTTATATTTTATAACATGCTACTTCATTTTTTATATCTATACTTAATGAATTTTCTATTCCCTGTCAATTATTTTCAGTGTTAGGAATATTTGGGAATACTTTGTAAATATTAGGAATATTTACAGCATAGAATTGTAGATTATAGGTGGTACATGAATTTTTGTGTGTGGTATCCTCTGAAGATAGAAGTTGCTACATATTTTTCATATAACTGCTTAATGTAAGTGCCTGTTTCAGAATATGTGATTTTTTCCTTTACATTTGTCTTTCTTAATATCAGAATATATCTTGACAAATTTTCAGACCTTATAAGTTCTTTATTATTTTAATATTTTTAATTAAATCATCTATTTCATGATGCCCTCGGTTGATTGGAGTTAAAAGTTGCTATTAGAGGAGCCTGTTCAAAAACAGCTGTTCAAAATTTATGCTTACATTTTTGTACTGTCAGTATCAATTCAGAGCATTTTGGCCATATCCTTATGTTCTGGCATGAAGTTGTGGGAAGTTCATGTTATGAGGTATCACTGAGAAACCTTCTGATAGCATTCAAGGGTTATTTGTGTTTGAATGGAAAGGTGCTGTATTTAATTGACACGAAATCCTTGCTAACTGAAACATCTAAATAGTAAAACAACGAGCTATTGAAAGCAAGGGGAGGGAAGGAGATAAAAGTCCTTTCCTTTCTGGGTTATTTTCCTGACTCTGTATCTTAAAATTCAAATAACAGTTTTACATTAGACGTTTTAGGAGAACTTCACAATCTTTGCCTTATTTTCTGCAAGATGATGTTACTAGATTGTCCATTAGATGTTTACAATTGTGTCCTCCCTGGAAGACAAGACCAAACCTCTTTGTTCACAAGGGTTAAAAATTGGAGGGCTGTGTAAGTGTGTGTTCCCTCATCCACATAAAGGACTGGTTGTTGTATATCATCAATGACTGAAGACACCAGTTGGTTTTCAGTTCAGGCTTTGCTGCTGAAGGGGAATGCACAGGGAAAAAAAAATCCTTAACTCAATAAGGGTGTTTCAGGCTTCTTTTAGTAGAAACAAAGTGGAACAGGTAATGCCATGAGAACAAAAGAAAACTGGGGAACTTGTGATTGCACAAAATGAGCAAGAAGGTTTGTAAACAGCACTGCCCATGAAATCTTGTTTCAGAAGTCTCGTTTCCTTGATGGACTTCCAATGAGGTTATGTTACTCTACAGAACTTTGAAACTCTTCTTCCTGCTTTTAATTAAAATATTTTAATTATGTCATATAAACTGACATATCTATAGAATCATATGAAGAAGTAAAAAAAATCTCTTAGGATCAAACTCATTAGCATTCACATTTCGGTCTTTTTCTAACTGACTGCCTATGAATGTTTTAAGGCCTTGATTACCTTTATCTTGCTATCAAATTTTACCAAAATAGATCAGTATTTCCAGAAGTCTTTGTTCATAGACCTATAGCAAACAGAACTGTCCTATAAGACTAGGAGGAGGAGACAGGAGACAGGACTAAAAATACAGTGTCTGTCAGAAATTACATAATAAAACAGTTATGTTGGTGGCTGCTTATGAAGATGTTGAAAGAATTTCAGTTTATTAAGGAAATTTGTATTGTGAATTAAGAAACAGGCCACAGACAATTAAGACTTTGAAAGACATGAAAAAAAACCTTTTGCTATTGCTCTGGGATTTAATTTTTAAATTTTTTTTTTATGCCTTTGTAGTCATGTGTATGCTTTGTAGTCATGTGTATGCTTTTGGAGTATCTCATAGCATTGCTACAGAAAGAGTCCAGTATACAAGCCCATAAAGATAAAGTCAATATCGTATTTTCTTAGTACTGATTAATAAGGTAGCAGAAGAAAGGCAATTGAAAACTGCAGGATAATGAGTTAGGAAGAAATATCACTTAGGTTTCATTTAGGGATTAATTCTACTCTGCAGTTTCAGAATACCTAGCATATCAGATGTCCCCAAAAAGCTAAAATGAAAGAAATTGCAATTGTGAATAAGAAGTTTATCGTGCAAGAGAAAGTTAATACGATGAAGAAGGAACACAACTATAATCTATCTAGACAAAAAGATATAGGAATTGATGCTCAAAAGAAAGGGTTCTTTCCTAGTCCTTGCCAAAATGTGGGCTTATGTTTCTCATTTCAGAATATTAGATAAGTAAGGCTAACCAAAGGTTGTCTGTGCATTTTGAGGTATGCTACAGAATATTGAATTAAATTGAATTTACACTGTATTTATACGACAAATAGCAAATGGAGAAGGCTCAACTCTTCAAAGCTCTGTGTGAAAACTGATCTGCACAGTCATTTTCATATTACAATGAAATAGGAAAGTAATGGACTTCCTTGATACAAACAGTAGGGCATTCTGGATTATATTCAGCGAAGACCTCAAACTTCTTTGTTTCTCAAGTATTAGCCAACTAAATTGTAACTGAAAAAGTTACATTTTCAAATCAAACATTGTAGGTAGAAATCTACTGTGTTTGGCAGAAGGAAACCTGAATATTCCTTCAGGTCCTTCAGGTGTCCATATATCCATATTATTATTTCTGTATTATTGTTGCTCATATTGCCCAGTATTAGACGTCAGATAGTATATACCTTTCTGTGGATTTACAGTGCTGGTACCTATCATTCCTAATATTAAATCCTCATAGGAGAATATCAAATAATGATGAAAAATAGCAAAAAGGTGGTTTAATTTCAATTATACTTGCACTTGCAAAAATATAACCTAGGAAGTATGCAAATTACTGCCTCAGTGGAAATTGACTGTGACTTGGAGTTATTTTAAGATTTGTAGTTAATATGGATAGGACAGATTTCCTTATATTTCACCTGTGTGCATGGACAATTTTATCTTTCAGACTATTTCTAAGACAATTGCCTTCTTTCTTACTCTTTTCAAGGAAACTTTTTTGCTTTGACAGTACTTTGACGGTAAATGTTATTAAAATTTCCCTTTTTGCCACTTGATTCGAAAAGAACCCTTCTATGTCTCCTGTAGCTAAAGCAGCCACCACAAACTCCAGGTTTTATCCCCATACACAAGCCGGCAGCAAGTAGTCAACTTTTCCAGTGTTTGCATATAACTCTGGGCTATCTACTTCTGGAGTCTGGAACTTAGTTTAATTCCACGAAGGGGTAACGTACCTGCTTTGAATTGCTGTTAATCTCATTTCGAGTTTTAAAAATGATGTAAACCACCCCTCCACCCCCACTTTTTTTTCTGGAATAGGAAGCACCTAACACACCACAAAACAGAAATCCTAAAAATGCAATTTTGCCTATCGCAGATCATTGAGTATTTTAGACCAGAACTGATTTAAATTTATTTTTGATTGTTAAAGTTTTTAGTGTTGCACTACTTGTTTTTAAACGTGATTGACTTGTATTGATTAGCAGGAAGCTCTCATTTCTTGGATAAGACTCAACTCACAAAGAAAGGAGATGCACACTTGAAACAAGAAGGTCTAATTAGAATGCACAACTCAGTGGCTCTCTCTGAACCCATGAAAATATCATCTATCCCAGATGTTCCACAAACACCTCATCAAATACTTGGAAAAGAAAACTCAACTGGTAAGCCAAATATTTCTTGAGAAAGCTGATTATTCATTTATATTAATCTATGTCCTGACATTTATGGTTATTAATTATCTAGAGGGTTTTGTTTTTATCTTTTCCCCTCACGTTATTTCCTATGCAGTGATTATTTCCTATACAGTATTTCTGTATTCCATGGAAATAAAATTCACCTCTATTAAGGCTGCTAGATCGATGACATGAGAAATTAAAGCTCTTCTTATGCATATATAGAAGTGAGCAAGGCCTCTATTTCACACAGGGGTCGACTCTGAAGTATCGACTGTCTTACACTAGTGTCAACTGCCTCGGTATTCATTCTGATCTGCTGCTGTAATTCATGTATCTAATGGTATTGCCTTTTCTTTTTAGTTCCAGTGTATGTTTCTCTTAATAAAGGCTTAATTCTTAAATGCTTGACTGAAAAGTTGTTAAAGCAAGGAATAAATGATCCAGAATATCAATGGGTTGGTCCCATTGGCTTGATAACGAAAGGTAATCATGTTGTAAATATCTATGGCTAATTTAATGCATTTTGATTTAATTCTCGGTTTATCCACGTTTGTGCTACTGTATGCAAAAACAGAAGCAGTTTATAAAATGTCTTGTATTTGCAAGACAGCAAAAATGGACTGTAATGAAAAAAATCAGAACAGAAACAGAAGGCTACATATACCATTAAAATTATATAGGATTAGAATTCTAATGCTGAAATTCCAATTTAAAAATCATTATATGGAGAATTATGTTTTTATATGCCAAAAGGGGATGCATGTTCATTTGAATGACTTGACACTATGCCATGCCAGCAACAAGCACTTCAGATTTTACATATAAACTTGTTAAAAAAAGGATAAAACTTTTGTGATTACTTCTGTATGAATTGGGACTGTGTTTGGCTAGAAGGAAGTTAAGGATTTAAAGTCAGTTTCCTGCATTAATGTTTATAAGACTTCTGAGAGAAGATCAGTGTCAATTTTCAAGGTTAGGTTAACTTCATGTACTTTATGTTATGAGAGAGATCAAGGTGGAAATGATGTAAAGAAAGAGGAGGAAGAAAATCACAGCAAAATAAGAAGGGGGAAAAAACCATAAACTATAGAAATAATATATGCCCTGCAAATGCTTTGCATTTTCTTTCTCAGCAAGGACTGCTAAATACAACACTTCAAACTCACTGAGGAAAGATTTATCATTTATCATGCTGCTAGGTATCTAGAGAAGCAGAAGGGATGTCCTCAAAATATATAGGTCCATCCCCCTCCTATCCCCCAAAAGAGCATTTATCACCTATTGTTTGTTTGCTTTTCCTCTTTCATGCCCTTCCGACAGTTTGGAAACTGACAGTAGATGAGAAAATGAGACTAGATCACATTTTTTCCCTTGGGCAGCTAAACTCTACTTCTGTTTTGTTTTAGGGAATTAAATTTATTTAATTAAATTTTAGGGAATTGAATTAATGCTGGCCACCTTCATTATGTGCACACTTGTAAAAAAGGAGAAATGCTTTGGAAAATCACGGAACAAGCATTACATTCTTAAACATTTAGTTTTTAAGAATCTGTTAACAAAAATGTTACCTTGTTGTGTTATTTATTTTATAGCATCTCAAATATCTATTTCTAGACTCAGGAAGACTTGTTTTAACAGCAGACTACCTGGAGTTCTATAATGTTCAAGCAAGTGATACTGGAAGTTACACCTGCCGAGTTACCTATGTACATAACGGTAAACGCGAGATGACACAAGTGCGTTTTATGATCTATGGCAAGTGACGTTTAATTGTGCTGCTTTTTGACTTATTCTAATATTATTATTTTCAGTATTTCCCTCTGAATTGCTTGGTAATAGCATATTGGAAAGAAATCCTTATACATAACTATTGTATTCATGTATACTTTAAAAGACTGCCTAGGAATAATATAATGCAATTATATACAGACATTATTTTTACTGCTTACTGCTTTTACAGTTTATGATGTTACTTAGATCAAAACTTTTTTATGAGTCTAGCTCGTTCTGCCCAGCATGAAATCAAATAATTCTGAAGACTAAAGTCATAAAGGAGTATAGTTGCCTAACTGTCATTTAAATGCTTATGTATAGCACAAATTCTTCAAAATTCCAGTTTAAGTTCCCTTTCTAGATACATTTTCGAGGTATATATAGTAAGTTGTTATATATTTGATGTTAGATGCACAGGTTGTTTTCAGCTGCTAAATTCACAAGTTAAAGGTGTTCATCTAGAGTTCATCTAATCAGGGCACATACATGGTTTTCCCTCCCGAGATCCTTAATGTCAGGTGTGTTTCTCAAAAAGCATTCCAGAATGACACACCTGGCCACCTACTACAGAACTACATTCTTGGGTCAATCCTGACTACTTCAGGAAGGGCATTTACAGGAAAAGATAAATTTATTTAAAACAAAAGAGCCTAATCAAGCCTATACAGATTTGATCTTGAGAACAAAATGAAACAAGAGTTCATGCTGGAAGATATAGAAAAATAGCTGGCTTTTAAAAGAATTACAAAAAAAAGTGCCTTCCAAACTAAAAGCAGCTCAAAAGAGTCATGAAAATTACGCTGTGATGCCACCTGCAGGATATCTGAGCGGTATACAACCCCGGGCTGCTGTTATCTAATCTATCACTTATTTTTAATATAAGGTGGGGTTGAAGGTCTGTTTTAAAACCGCAGGATCATGATCTGCTCCTCAGCTTATCAAAATACATTCTCCCAAGACTGTACCTGTGTATTTCCAAATTAATTGCAAGAAAGTTAGATTCCTTTTAGGAATTTTAGTTTACTGGCTTGAGCAAATAAACATCTGGGCCAAAAGCATGATACGATTCGTGGACTACTCGTAGTTACTGTTGCAGCCCATAGGATTTGAAAGTATTAAGCATTTTGATAGGCCTCTTATCACATACTAGATATTGTGTTAAAATTCTGTGAATAGCCACATTTTAAAATGCAAAGCAAGAGAGGGGACTAGTAATATGGTTAGCATATATAGCATTTTTTTTCCAGCTGCTCAAAGCTGGAAAATGTATCCATGGAAAACTTTGATATATTAAAATTAACTAATATTATTAAGACATATTAAAATATTATTTTAAAGCCTATTGCAGTATGCACGAAAATTTTATTAAGGATGCATGTGCTAAGAATAAATGTTTCCACTGTGGTCTGGTAGGAAACATCTGCTCTGCCATCCAACATTACAGGCTACAAGAAGCTGCTTTTTAGAATTCGGAAGTATTAAGCATTTTTAAAGGACTTTTATCACATCCAAGATATAATGAATAATGACTTATATCATCAAAGCAAGAAAGATCACAGTAACAGTAACATTTGGGGCTTCACATAGGGCTTATACACTGAGAGTAGTCTGGATTCAGTAACAAGGTTGTGACAAGTTGAAGGAGAATGTCTGAGTTCCCGACCCTTTCCTGCATTCTTGCTGTTTGCCTGCAAAGTTTTTCAACGCCTGCCAAGAGAGATTTCTCTCCAAGACCATGACATGTGTCTGACTCGACTGCAACCACACCCTTGCATTTTGGAGTACTCAAGCAAAAATCTTCCTTGGAACAACTAAATGCATCCTGATTGCATTTCCTGTTGAGGAAATATGCCATGCCTTGTTCAGTAGATCACCTCTCATCTGACCAGATGGTCATTCCTAAAAAGTATTATTTCTTATTCCACATTGGATGATCAAATTACACCCAACAAGTCATCCTAAAAATGCTTATTTCTTTCCACGGGCTATATAGGAAGCACAGGTAGCTCATTCAGCCATAGACAGCTATGGCTTGAACACCTAAAAAGAACCTATGTTAACTCAACTTTGGGTTTGGTTGTATTACTAGAAAAAAAAAATCAATGACTAAACAAAAAAAAAAAAGTAGTTTCAGATTTTCAAATGGCAACAGTTACAATAGAAAAGTAACAAGACAAAATAATGAAATAATAGAATTCTCTATTGTATAATCAAGATTGTGTCAGCTATTCCAGCCTCCCAGCCAAGCTGGTAGACCTGTACCTCAGCTCCCTGCCACGCGCCATGCTGGGCCTGCCCTGAGCATTGCTACTGCTGCCAAGTTGTGCCGTTGCTAGCAAAGCTGCTCCTGACTTCCCAGAATAATCCCGAGAGATCTGCCTGCTTGAGCTTGGTGGTGGTGGTGTATCTTAAAAGCAGCACACATCGATAAAAGAAATTAGATTATTGCCACTTCTTTCATTGGCCTTCTTAATAAATTTTATGTTATATAGCTTTATTTCTCTGACCTTTTCTGCCTGCCCAGTTTCTCCCGTAACAACCTTCTGAAGGTGGATAGACAACATTTCATAGACTGGTGGTGTACAGTTTGGCAATCTAATTACAGTACAGAAACCGTAATTTCAATGAGTTTAAGAACTAAATAACGGTGAGACTGTGATCGAGTGCTTAGAGTCATACCTCCGTATTTACTCCGTTACTACCACGATAAGCATGAGTTGTAAAATACTGAAGACAGACTATGTATGACACAGAATAAGAAAGGAGGCATTCAAGTTACTTGTATTGGCTTTAGAATCACAGAATGCTCAAGGTTGGAAGGGACCTCAGAGGTCATCTAGTCCAACCCCCCTGCTCACGCAGGGTCCCCCAGAGCATGGGGCACGGGGCTGCGTCCAAGCAGGTTGGGAAGATCGCCAGAGAAGGAGACTCCACCACCTCTCTGGGCAGCCTGTGCCAGGGCTCTGTCGCCCTCACTGTTAGGAAGTGACATAAGCATACTATGCACAGCTACCTGGGTTGAGATAAAAACTGGATGCGAAAGAGTTTAGATAGCTAAGAGATTTTTTTCGTCTTTTTACAGTCTATCATAAGCCCGGGAGAAGCCTACGCCTGGCATCAGAATTCCAAACAGGAAGTTGTGAAACCAGTGCAGTTGTTTCCTTTGAGAAAAGACTGCTAGAAGACTTGAAGAAATTAATGCATGAGTTGCAGTGCGGAATTTGGCAGTGGGACATGCAGTGCCACGCAGCCCCAGACTCAAAAGCAACGCTAACACATAAGCTTACCTTCCAGTTTGTAGGTAAGACAGGTATTTTTTTTTTTTTTCAAATTACTTCCAAGAGACATGGAAAAAGAGCCACTGTGGTAATAAAACATTTATATACACATCCATATGCACCCAGGTAAGAACACACAGCTCACGTTCTGGGTATATGGGGCATATGCTATTTTTATAATGTAAAATTTGGCTAACCAGCCTTATTTAAGTTAAAGTAATAGAGAACACAGTTGGATTTTCAGCAAAGGAGTGTATCATGTCTTCAGGAAGTGAGATCAAAAACTTATTTCTGTTTTTAAATATCAGATTTCTGTAAGTCCCATTAAAATCACATGGCTGAAGTTTCTTGTAATTCTTCAGTTTTGTGCAAGAGAGCTAGGGCAGCACCAGAATTAAGCATGTCTTAAGCTATGCTAAAAGCATTCAGTGATCAAAGACACACAATCCTCCACATTCCTTGGCAGAATTAAAACCTAAGTTACGTTATCTTCATGACTGTTCTGACAGCTAAATTAAGCTGAAATACCTTTCGTATTTTCGTGATGTATACTTGCATTTCTTACACTTTCTGATTTACTTGTCTCCTGCAATATATCTGGACTTGTGTGAGCTCTTAAAAGCTATAGTTCATTAATACTACAGCATTATGGTTCTGAGTAGCACTTAAGAGTATATTACAGCCATAAAACACTAAATGCTGACCCCGAGTTTACACTGCCAGTTCAAATCGGTTAAAACACCCACCAGCTGACAGATTAACAGCGCATGCTCAGAGCATGTATTTTATGCTAGAGCAGATAGCATGAGTTGTCCTGCAGCCAGTGTAAAAGCCAGACAGCCTCCATATGCACCTTGTCTTCTGATCCAACGGGGAGAACCTGGACAGGTGCCTGTTTCTGATCTGGGTCATGTCAATACTCGGCTGAGCTCGGCAGCACAAACATCTGCACTCAACGATAACGGAACCACAGCCTCGCTGGCAGCAGCTGAGTTCCCACAGGAATTACTGGCTGCAAGTCAGTACTTACTTCCTTGCGCCAGAGCAACTTCTGCCCCTCTCCCCTACTTCACAGAAGGCTGGTAGGAGTTAACCTGGCTGATGTGGGCACTCGGATGCTGCTGTTAGTACCTTGTGCTGAAGGAACAGTCGTGTTGCTAGCTCAGAAAAAAACGAGCTGCCACTGAGGGATGCGTTTTAGAGTGCAGCCCTCTGAGGGCTTTTTCATCTTTTTGCACGTTCCAGAAGGTGTCAGGACTTACAGATAGACAGCACTGTATATAAATTACTTAGCTAGAAAAGAAGTGTCTGTTCCACATCCTTGGTTGCCATTCGTATTTGAAAACCAAAGTTACAGTAGTAGCCTGAATTTAAACTTACATTCTAGCAAATCATCTTTTAATATTGGAAAACAAGTTTCCCTGCAGGTTCTCTTTTGTATATGATGTGTATATACATATATTTAAAATTGAATTTCAGTTTTCTACTTAAACGCACATACTTAGTAAGCTGTCTTTTTTATATAAGTTTTTCTTACAGCAGCAGCATCAGTCACGATGACAAAGCATGAGAGCATGTACTGTACACGTCTACTGCACATAGCCACGCTGTATGTTCCCTTATCACACAGACGAGGAGAAGTAGGAACAAATAAAAATATTTATAGGACTAAGTAGCAGTTCCTGTTATCTTTTTTAATGTGTGTATTAACTGAAGATCTCTTTTGGTTCATTTGCAGTTTTCCCTTTTACACTGGCCTTTACAGAGCCTTGTGAAAGTCCAGACTGTGAAAATTCCTCCAATTGTGTCCAAAAGGTGCAATTATTCATTAATAATATGAAAATACTTTTTTAGAAATTTCATGCGTTTATACATTTTATACATGTTTATGTCATTGTATTAAAAGCCTGTATTACAGTTAATTGTTTGGTACAGCATGACATTCATCCCCCACGTTTTATATTAATCTCACACCAACTGGTGCCCAGTTGCTTTCATGTGAAAATGAAAAGCAGAGCATCTTCTCAGCTCATCTAAAGCACCTCAGACCGTATTCCATGTTACAGGTTTACTTGGTTTAGTTGTCACTTTGCTGCAAGTCTGGGAATGGCTTCCCTGTTGCTTCCTCTGCTCTCCCAAGAAAGCAGCAACACACGTTTGTCAGCAAGGTGACAAAAGATGACATCCACGGGATGAGAACTACATCTGCCCCCTTGCAGTTCTCTTCTCCCCTCTTTTTACTCGTCTCATGTAGAATTTGCCTCTTCTCTGCCAAAAATCACAATGCTGGCTTTTCGAGGCTCTTTCTGTCCTGCTACTATGTCACTGCTTTAATCACTGTCATTGGTTCCTCCACTGCTAGGCACATAACAAGATTCTGCTGTTTTTGAGAGGGCAAAGATCAGACGATGAGCAGATGCACTACGTTCATGGAAGCCTTACAGGCTGGATGACAGACCACTGCAAGCCAGGATTTGGTAAAAACATAAGCAAGGATGTGTGCACAGAATGCTGCAGTAAGTGTGAGGAATTTGCTTTTAAACGGCTCTCCAGTTACTGTTGTCAGGAGAAAATATGTTCCTCCTAGTCAGCAAATGGATAGCATTTTGACTGTTAGCACAATATTTTAATGCCAACAGTAGGCTGCAATGAAGCAGATGAGAGCAAACTTTCCATCGCAAGATACTTAAAATACCCCCAACATATTTAAAAATTAGGTAACAAACACGGCTTAGCTAACACACGTTTAGACCCTGGCACAGATGGGCTGAGCTGCATCATGTATGTAATGCAGTAACACAGTCTCTGCCCAGGCTGCTGTCCATCCCACCACCAGCAGCTATTCTGACGTGATTTGTTCTGTGTCTCCTGGGAGGTTTCAAATGTGGCCTTGTATGTTGTGAAGAATATTTTTATCCTGCTGAAGCCCAAAACTAACTCACTCGCTGAGGAAAAAGAAAGAATATATTCCAGTTTGATTCTAAGCAGTCCAAAAAGAGTACATTCCACAGGCACCCAAGGAATATATCTTGATGAAGTTATTTCTGTCTTGACCATAGCAACATTTGAGTAGTGTTACATCAGTGTGGATATGACACAAGTGTAGGGAAAAGCCACGTATGGCCCAGCAGACCTATCTCGCTGCGCAATGTGTACTTACTCCTTGGATGGAGAGTTTTCCATTGTCTAGCTCTGCTAAGAATGGAACAGAAATTAAAACAAACCTTATCAAATTAAACAAACTTGTAATGTGTATATTGTGAAAAAAAATCTGGCTTATATCAGTTTTCCTACAGCACTGAAATACATTTCCATGAAAATTATATAAATAGAAGTTTATCAAAAGTCACATAAAAGAATGGCGTAAACAGAAGAAATAAAGATTCTGAATTTTCACATGATATTGGAAACATTTAATTTCTCCCAATTTTAATTTTGTACCCAGCCTAAAGTTTCTTATCACTGAAGGAATCTGAGCTTTCGAGCTTCTTGCTGATTATAAATGAGCATGTGATACATATATGTGTATATAGAGAGAGATGTATAGATATATATCAGTGATATATACATACACACTCACACATATATCTGTATATACCTATACATATATATACATATAACATATATACATCTATATACACCTATCTCACATGCTCACATGTATATGCTTGCTGAAGACCTGTTAGCAACAATTACCAATATGACTCTGCTACTTAACTGAGGTGGAAAGTGACTTTTTCTAAAACCTCCTTAAAATTTTTTGAGATGTCGTTTTAGAAAAATATGACATAAATCAAAGGTTTAACATGCTAGAGATTGTAAACTGCCATTTCTTTAAAATAAGCGTAGGACTTCTACCTCCTATTGTCATCATCTTCCACTTAGTACAACAAAATCTAAAATATAATAAACATTTTATCTAAGAGCATTATCATTTCATTAATCTACAGGTTCATCCTGACATCACCTTCCTTCTCAAATAAGTGTAATTGTGTTTTACAATCAGTCTTTAAGACCATGGAAATCAAATTTGCTTTGATACTGCAATTTATTATTAAATATCCTACAGTTCAAAGTCAGACCCTGGAGGTCTTTCTTAAAGTAGATTTGCTGAACTTCCTAAAGTAAGAACTCAGTAAAAAGCGACTGCAAATTTCAGCATTTTGCATAACATCCTAAATAATTTGTACCACAGTGTTTGATCCAACTATCTTTTGCTATGGCTAGTGTCTTAGGTCACCACAATTACACTAGTGCAATTCCAATTTACTAAACACGTAACCAAGTCCCTATTCAGTATAATTTCATTTTTAAGTCTATATTTTCTTATAGTTCTATTTCTATAGTGTTTTGTTTGTTTGTTTTTAATAGTAACATGCCCACCTGGTAGATTTAGTACTGAGTATAAAACTGCGTGTACTCTCTGTCCACATGGATCTTACAATGAAAAATATGGGCAAACAGCATGCAAAAGCTGTCCAAAACAACACACTACTAACAGAAAAGGAGCCAAAACAGCAAGTGACTGTTACAGTAAGTTATATGCTAAGGATAAGAGATTGCATTAACAATTATATGAGTAGCATAAATACTATTGAAGTAAGAGGTAATAAGTTTATTTTTAATTCTTAATTCAGAAGTAATATTAGTAATAATGGCCCTTCCTGTTAATCACTATGTGCAAATCACTATTCTGATTTTGCTGTTTTTCATATATTTTTAGATTTATTTTTGCTCTTGAGTATATGCCATATATGCAAAGGAAATAGGTCTAAGCATAGAAATTGATTGATACCTGCAATAAATGTGTCCCATGGTACTGTGGGAAGATATTAAATACACCTCCCAATCCCATATCCTTTTAACAATGAAAATTGCAAGTAATTTAACAGGAAGGTCCATGTGAAATGGATTGCAACAGAGGAGGAAAAAGGGAAAAAAAAAAAAAAAAAAAAAAAAGAAAACCTCCTGATTTGTGAGCAACAGAGAAATAAACAAAGCTCAAAAGTGAAACCATGGGGGTAAAGATGGAAATACTTCCCAGCTGAGTTCTCAGAAGTTTCTGTGAAGGTCGGAGCCCTCTTCTCTGCTCGGCCCTGCTGGGCCTTGGGCGCCTTGACACCCGTGGCCCAGGAGGTGCCAGCCCCGCTCTGCTTCCTGTCACTCACAAGAACCTCCGTCTTTTTCAGGAACTCTGCAAATCTGGATAGTTTTCTTGATTATCCCGGCTGGAGTCATCCTCATCATGCTGGCATCTTGGCTGTAAGACTGTTTGTGGCATTTTTTTAAATTGCATCTAACTATCAGGCACACCTATAATTTTACATTTTAATATTATTTCTATATACTTTAATGTTAGTAGAGAGGACACCTGTGCATCTCCTTCACTGATGATATATGAAAGAAATCTTTCCAAATGCATCTGACATTGGACTACAGAAAGAGGCAAAATAACACAAACCAACATGTTCTGTATGATTTTTTTTTCCTGCATCCAAGGCATATTGGTGCTCTGTAATTTACAGACTGAAAAATAGCCTGTGGGGGCTGGAACGGAGAATGCTCCAGGAATTCAGGTCTTTGGCTCAGGGTACAGCAGTACCCTCAGAGCAGTAGAGGATATGCCCAAGCACACTAAGAACAGCGGTCTGGGTCTTGAATCCAGAATGCAAATATATTTTGTGTCAGAATAAATTTGAAGACATGTATTTAAAATTAAAAAAACCTCAAAAGACAAAAACCCCTATTTTCTGCAGCTGTTGAATCCATCTTCATTGTTGTTTTGAAGAGGATTTAACTGAAAATTCTGTTTACTCTCTACAACTTTGACAGATATACTGAATGAAGGTTAAAAACTGCTTTCAGACAGAAAGTTACAACTATTTTCTTCATTCTGGTAATCACAGCATCTCTGCTTATTCATCTATTTTTCAACTATCTTTTCAGCTTTTTTAATTTTTTTTTTTTTACCCCTTTTCCTTATAAAGCTACAAGTATTCAGTAGCTGTGATGGGAATGAATAAGGAACCAGTGCTGAATGTAACATGCTGAAGTGTATATAAAAGGCTTAGAACTACTCAGTTTATGCCACAAAGCAGCACTAGAAACTTAATAAAAAAAAAAAAAGGACAGAAAATACTTTTCCCCAGGGATTATTTGGAAGTGTAAAGAAAAATCTTGCCCCATGACAGCAGCGTGTTGTTCTCCAAGCTGTTTTTAAATCTAAACTTAATGAAAGGTGCAAATCAGGGGCTATCACCTCCCTCAGCCTGCTGGCCACGCTCTGCCTAGTGCAGCCCCCTTTGCCACAGCTCGTGCACGCTGCCGGCTCCCGCTCGGCTCGAGGCCGTCGGGACCTCCCATCTCCCTCATTCCCAGGGCTTTTTTTTTTGTTGTTGTTTTTTTGTTCCCCCCTCTCCCCCCCAAACTACAGAGCTACTTTTCCAGCCAAATCAGCTCCCAGCCCACCAGGGAGACTTGCAGAATCCGGTCCTTCATTTGCCCGGGAACTACTTACATCACAGAACAGGACTTTTTGTCTTCGTTTCTTCATTCCTAGCTGGGGTAGTGGTACCGTACCTTCATTTCCCAAAGTTGCTTCACATGGTTTTTATGCTCCTAAATGGCTCATAAATCAGGACAGTGACAGTGCAGGTAGGTTCTCCTGGAGGAAAAACAACAGCAACAAAACAAACACACACACACACACACACACACACACACACACACACACACTTCTGCCATGCCCAAGTGTGCTTTGGTTAAAGAGGGGGAGACAGCCTGATCCTGGGAACTGAGAGAGAGACAGGGATGCATATCTGGCTCTGCAAATGCATTTCAAAGTGTATTTACTGCTGCTGCCACAATGCAGAAGTTCATTAAAAAGCAGACTTCATACACTAAGCAGCACTGCCAGCCCAGGGCAGAACCTGTGTGTAGACGAGCAGCTGGAGAGCTGCACTAGCATTAGCACTGGGGAGAAGCAGCACCCAATGCCCGCGAGCACAGAGAGGCTGCAGCAAGGCCGGGTCTATGTGCGGGCCCTAACGAGGGCTTTAACCCCGCAGGCTGTCGCAGCCGGGCTGCAGGCGGCGCCTGGCCGCCCGCTACGTGGAAGCGGACCCAGAACTGAAGGCGAAGGTGAAAACCTTGGCCAGCATCGCCACTGAGGCGGCGATTGAAGCACAAAGGAGGAAACTGAGGAGCCCCGCTAACAATGACACGAGGCACCTGCCAAGACACAAGTGTGACTATTTCCACGAAGAATCTAGAGGATTATTAAGTAACGTCACAGTTACAGAAGCATCGACCCACTTCAGCTCAGATCGCTCCCTTAACTACGCGTGGCCAAATGAAGCACAAAGCAGCTGGGAGGAAGGTGCTTCACACACCACTAGGGGGGAAGAATAAAATTACTCTGTTTTGAAAAGCAGGTCTGATTTGGACATTGGTTAATACAATGAATTGGATTTTTTTGGGGGGGTTCAAAGAACATATACCAGTATAATTCTGATCATCTACTGGAAAAGCTGCAGCTTTTCCTCTTTACATATTTTATTATTGCCCTTTGGGTAAGTCTCCTTCAAAATGTCTAGCATGAACCCGCTTCTGACGATGACTGTTGCTGTTGAACAAAGCAGAAGGGTCAATTCAATACAGTTCAGTTTTGCAGCAGTCACAAGCTAAATCTAGATGTGCTTAAAATGTACCCAACTGTTTCTAAATACAAGTACTTTGAGAATAATGAATTAATTTATGATTTTTTCCTTATCACTGTAAAGGTTAAGTAGAAGATGAAGAATATACTGATCATAAAAGCCGATTCTATGTTATGCCCACAGAAGAATATTTTCTTTCATGATTTAAATTAGAATTATATCTAAATGGAAAGCATTAAAATATATTTTAAGGACTTTAATATATTTATTGTGAAAATATTGTCTAAAGGGGGAAACATTATTTTGTCATTTTTTCGAAACGATTTATAAATTAATGCTAACAATGTTTGTAAGATAAAATCAAAAATGATTCAATAGCCAAAAATTTCTAAGTACTGCATCTAAAAGGAGATCTTTAACGCACATACATCTAGACCTTTCCTTTTAGCAGTGCTTGTGTTGAACACATGGCAAACAAGGAAGCTTTTGGTTTACTGATGTTCATCAACGTTTCATCAATGGTCATTGCAATCTCATTTGCTTTACAAGTCGGCCTTAAATAACGCGAACATTGATAGCATTAGATCTCTGTAGAACTGATCATCTTCAAATATAATAGTAGGAGACGTCAGCTCCATAACATAAATCACAAATACGAGGCTTCCATTTAGTATTTCAGGGCTAACGCAAGGGTACCCTTTTTGCTGCAGTGTCATACAACACAGAAACCTTCTAGGCCTTGGAAAGAGTCAAGGAGGGGTTTGGTCTGTCTCTAAAATCTGACTATGCAACAACTTGTGGGAGAAAGGACCCAAGAGGGGCAGCGAGAATGGTGAAGGTGTCTCTTCCAAATGAAAGTTACAGCTGCCTATAACCATACAAGGAAAGTCAAAAAAGGTCTTTTTTATTAAAATAAAAAGCTTTAATACCTTTGCATTGAAAAGAATTAGCAGAAAGTAATTGCTACAGACATGCTACAGTAATATATACGTTCAAAAAGTTTTCAGTGCTTTCTTTCATAGTTCAGCATTTTGGCAAAAATAAGTTTTTTCTGTATATACTTCAAAAGTTGGCTATAATACTGATATAAGATACTTCATGTTGACTAAGTTCAGGTGCATAAAATACAATAAGTAATAAAACATACTGTTCATCAAGACATTTAAACATATTTAAAGAATAAATTTCATTAGATAACATGCAAATACTGCAATATTTAAAATGACACTTAAATATAGATACGGAGATTCTTTATAATTTTGCATCCAATAAGAGATTCTGAAATGTACAAAACAATAAAAATGAATGAATTTCTTCACTGAAGTAAGGTACTAGTACAAAGTTTGATTGTCATTTTACAAGCATTGAGCCCAATGTCCTGCAAATCTTCACTAGTCCAAGTAAAGATATTTACCCAAGGGGGTTTACCAAAATAGGCCCAGGGCTATTAACTTTTCTTCATAATAAAATATGAAAGTATATTTACATGAAAATAAACTCTTAAATTTTTGGTAAGGTAATTAAGTAGCAGCAATTTGTTCCTTCCACAAATGATGCTTAAAATAGGTGCATGCTTCTTCATCTGAATAATACAAAATTAACACTTTTCAGTAAACTCAATACACTATTTGTTCATTGCTGAAAAACAACCTGCCGTGTCCCTCCTTGCAAAAATCATAAATTCATTATGTCACACTCTTCCAGATTATATTTATGGTTACAAGAGCAGTGGAAAACAATTTAATTGTGCTTAAAAAAAAACACCTGACTACTGGTGAATAGAAGAATCATCTTCTACATTATTGCAAATACTCTTAGCTCTTCACTGAAAGATATTAGATTTTTTGGAATTCGACTTTTTTTTTGACTTGAAAATGTCAATACTTCAGAATGTCCTTCACAATATATATATATATATATATATATATATAAACCGATACTTATGCACATTTTCTAAGCAGTTATGTATAATATATTAACATTAACAAGGTGAATAAAAGGCTTGTGAATAGGGAGCGCAGCACAGGCACCACTGTAACAGCAGGAGAGGAAATGCTAAGTGAAATTTGTACTTGTGATGCAATAAGTGCTGACAGTGGCACGTGAGAGGAGAGTGTTGGACTGTCTGAATTTATCAACGACTCTATTTTTTCTGCTTCTTTATTGCAGGCTTCAATCTAAGAAAGAAAGAAAAAGTTACTTCTCACCGTGCAAAATTTTACCAAAAAAGAGAGTCACTAAATAGCAAAATTTAGGAAGGAATATGTCGATTATTCCTGTCAGAACATAAAATTTATCAGTGTTTCGGAGAAGTCCTTAGAAGTCATTGAAACTAAGCACAGACTTTGGTACTATGAAACTATTGCTGAAACCAGAGCAGCAGCAAAAGGAAAAGAATGAAGCTCCTTTCAAATGACCATGGGCGAGGTGCTTCAAATGTTCATGCTAAAAAGCTCACAGGAAGTTCTAAGCAGAGGCAGGTATCTCCAAAACGGAGGATTTTGTCCCTGACCGACCAAAATATTGCCTTGATATCTTCAATGCGGAAAAATCTGGATTTTCTAATTACTGGGATTTTTCTTCCACAACAGGAAAAAAGGATTCTTTTCATGGGAAAGGAACAGAAAAATAAAAACAGCAGCAAAACCTAAGTCACCACAGTATCTCTTTTTTCCCCCCATATACCTGTTGGTAATTATGGATTTATATCAGAAGGTCTGGTTTACCACCTGATGAGGCTCAAGATCACATGCCATAAATTCTGATAACATTTGGGGGTTTTCCTATTAAAGGAGGAGGCAGAATTTGAGTCCAAATTGGTATAAAAGGGTTGTTCCAGTAACAGGTGGGGAGGGGGGGGAATGGACAAGCAAACAAACGTTTTTATTTCCCCGAGTGCCCTAGTTTGATACTGCAACTCGCCAAGTTTTTGGCAGTGATTCTGTCAAATCATATTATACTCTGTGCGTGTGTGTGCAATTAATATATACATATACATAACACACAAAAAAACCACTATACGTAGCCTATCCTAGAAGTAACAGAGCATACAAAATGAGATTATATAAATAGAAAGGAAATGGGAGGCAGCTTTTAATAGAAACCAAACAGCAAGGAAATGAAACTGCCTGAATTCTGTTTGTATTGTAAAAGGATAAGAGAGAAACTGTGGGCATGTTTTCTCTTCTTCTCAAAGCCAAATCCTTTATTTCAAGGTGCACCAAAAAACAAGTTAAGTAAAATGAACCAGTCTCAGCACCTAATCCCTAAAGGGAGTTCATTACAAAACGCTGTCAGCAAGGAAAAGCCAAACTCAGCAGAAAAAAAAATAATAATCTAAAACGGCAAAGAATTGTTTTCTTCTTAAAAATGAAGTTTTCTTCCCTCGTCTTTCTCAGTCTTTACAAGCAGAAACTAAACATGAAGCAAGAGTTCCAGGATAACAAAACATAGCCCAAACTTCGTTGTTATTGCTCTGAAACACTCCTAAGATACAAATATTAAAAATGTTGACTTGCATTTATTGGATTATATTTAGAGGTAAGTACTGTCAGCTTTATGTGCTTGTTTGCTAGCATGAACTAGCTATCACACTTCCTTCAACAGTGTCATTCAATAATGTGTATATAAAGCAATAATAAGTATACTACTGAATGACACATAGCACTGAACGACATAAATATATATTCATCAGCTCACATTCGTTCATATTTTAGATACACAAATTTAAAGGCTCCACCTCTATTCCTTTTAAAACTAAAAAGATATTATTCCATCAGAGGCATTAGCTATTCAATTTACAATGGTTTCTCTTCACTTTGCCCAGGAGGCTCCCTCACCTCCCCCTTCTAATTACCCACATTAGAAGCCTCTTGCCAAAATAGCAGGATTCTCAAACCACGTTCTGCCTTCCATAACACTAGTTATTTGGATCCAGGTCACTCCAGAAATAACCCAGTGTACTCCGCACGCAGCGAAACACTCCATTCCATGGTTTTCAGTACAGTAGTTTTAAAGTCACGCACACATAAATGAAATAATAATATTGTCTACCTGCAATGGTTTAGGGTTCTGATCCACAGGAATGATGAGAATTACAATTTCAGATTCTATACTCAGGTATCCAAACACATCACACTGTGGCACTGAAACATGCAGGCGGATTTTTTCAAGTATGTCAAGTACAGTTATTGGCTTTTTATTTGTTACCTGGAAGAAAAGAAAGAACCTCATGGACTGTATGATATTAGGCAAAAATACATTTATCTGCTTCAATTTTAAGAAGTTGATAATGTGCTAGAAATTAGCTTTAACCATCAAGCTACTCAACACTAAACTATAACAAGCAAATCTGAAAGGAAGAGAGGAGAAAACAAATGACTACCTTCTTAAAACAACTATGGCTTTATGTGTGTTGCCCTCACCCTCATGGCTGGTATGTATATTTAGTCTGTACCTCCGAAGAATCTAACAGGTTGTGTCACAGCTGCTCTACTCCCAGGCTGCAAAACCAGCACGGGAGGCAGAGCAACTGCCACCCGGCACTGCTGCTCCCGTTTCCGAGTCCACGTGTTCCAGAAATTACTGGAAATAAAGAGCAATAAATGGAGTGCTCTGTGAAGACACACGTACGTTTACATACGTGAACATGTGACATTTTAAGAGCACCACTTGGCCACAGGGTAAGGATTTTTTTCTCTTAAAATTCTTGTCTCCATGACAAGCAAATTGATGGAGATACCCCGTCTGTTGAAGGCCTCTGAAGAGCAGCACAGGTATTGCACTTATTAGAGCTTTGCAAGTCCAACCAGGATGTGAAGTGGCAGTTCCTCACATGGCAGCTCAAAACGCCACTGGGAGCCCCAGCTGAACAAGTACTCAGGCTGGGTGAAACTCCGACCCAGGTATCCAGAAGCGCAACAGGCAGCTACACATTCCTGCGACACCCCTCTCCCATCTGATATTGCCTGGCAGTGCCTTCTGTTGCCATACACTAAAAATGGCCTTGAGAAACTCTCAAAGAAACCATTCAAATATACCAATTACATAATTATTATGAGTAATGGGTAAAAATACGGGAAATGGACAGTGACTACCAATGACAGGCTCGCAATAATGACTTAGCCTACATGTTGGAATGACAACAGGAGAAACACGCAACTATTACTTGACGTGGGATCCAAGTGGATGCATTCCCAGTTCATATTCTTACATAGTGAAAATTATGCTGGGGAAGTTTACGTCTCCTCAGGCTTTCTGACTTGGTTACTGGTTTAGAAAATTGTTTTTATTAGAAAGTAACAAGAAACAAGATGCCAGAGTCTGATGAAGGCCTTTTCTGCACTCTGCAACCGCAGTAAAGTTTTATGAACAATAAAAATTATGAAAGAACCTAGACTACTAGGAAAAAGCTGCTTGAAACAGGAGAAGCAGAAAACCAAGCAAAATATTGAAGTGTCAGCCTTTGTGAATACTTCTTGAATTCTCAGAGCAAGAAGATCTTAGGCTTCCAGACTGAGATCAATACTTTACAGTGACTACTCACATCTACTCCCACATCTCATTTGCCAGTAAAAAAAAGTCATCCTGGGGCTATCTTCTATTTTGGTCTTGAAAGAATTTGTGCATGTGGAGAACACGCTCTCCATTTCTAGCTCTGTCACTTCTAGCATCTAGTTGATGGCCCAAGTAGGTGGCAGTTGCTGAATTTGGATGAAGGCTTTGTATTGTTTTGAGACACAAAAACTACAAAGAGTCAGCAGGATTATGGTGATGAAAATCAATAAAGCAACTAATAAATGCCCTGAAATCCAAGGATTCTTTAAGTGAAGGAGAGTAATTTGGTTACCACCAATTATTTGAAGAAAAGTAAGCTCCAAAGAATTATCTAGAAAGACAGCAACTCTCTTTCATAGCCACATGATGTAAGTCAGGAACTGAGAGGCTGTAGAGGTCAGGTGTAGACATCTGCAGACATTCTAGGATGCGGCCCTGACATAACAGACTGGTGGACAAAAAGGGCAAATAAACCAGTGGACACACACACAAAATCTTGAAGAGGAATCACTAGTAGGATGCGAATGAGCGGTGCACCCTTGAGATAACAAAGGCCAACCACACACTGGGCTGCAATAGCAGGAACCTGGGCAGCAGGATTTGATTATTGCCCTTTTCCTTAGGGCCCCTGAGGCCACATCTGAAATACAGTATGTAGTATGAGAGATTTGCTGACCAACTGGACAGTCCAGCAGAGTTCAGGTTGTATAATCTTCATTCTTGGAGATTTTAAAAGCTTAACTGGCTAGACTCATACACATGAAGCTAATATTGAGGAGAGGTTGGACTAGATAACCTCCAAGGCTCCTCCTGCCTAAATATTTTTCTATGGTTTTACAATAATGCTTAATTTTCTTCTAAATATATCCAGTGATTTTTGTACTGGTTTGGGGAAATCTTGATTTAAAGAAAAAAATGTGCAGACACATACAAATTTTCTTATTTCACTAGGTACAATTACTACATTGATCTGATTTGCTGTGCAGAGGAGCCAAAGGGCAAGGACTTTGCTGTTTTTCACTACGTGGGAAAGCTGGGCCAAGAACACTGTCTGTTCTATGACAGACCATCAATATGAGAAAAGCATCATAAACTGGAGGTCTTCAAAGAGCCCCAGTATGGAATGAGGCTAACTTATAAAGAACTTAAATTCAAAAACAACCATTTAACTGAAGACAGAGGGGAAAAAACACAGTAACTAGCTAGATTAAACTGAAGGGCTACCAGGATGATCAGGGGCCTGGAACATCTGCCCTATGAGCAAAGGCTGAGAGAGCTGGGCCTGTTCAGCCTGGAGAAGAGGAGGCTGAGGGGGGACCTGATCAGTGTCTATAAATACCTCAAGGGAGGCAGTGAGGAGGAGGGGGCGGCCTCTTTTCAGTGGTGGGCAGGGATAGGACTAGAGGAAATGGCTTCAAACTGAAGCATCGGAAGTTCCACAGGAACTTAAGGAAGCATTTCTTCACTGTGAGGGTGACAAAGCACTGGAACAGGCTGCCCAGAGAGGTTGTGGAGTCTCCTTCTTTGGAGATCTTTAAAACCCGCTTGGATGCAGCCCTGTGCCACGTGCTCTAGGTGACCCTGCGTGAGCAGGGGGGTTGGACTCGATGGACTCTGAGGTCCCTTCCAACCTTCGGCATTCTATGATTCTATGATTCTAAGAGTGTAAACAATCTGGTTTAAGTATTGGGCTTAAATGTGAGAGTTAAGTTACCTACATCAGGAAGGAGTTATTGAGCAAAATAATCTTGCCAAAAAGCCCATAAATAATAAATATTAACTCAGTTCTGAACTACCATGTAATTAATGTAATTATTACTATCATGTAATTACTGTTATTACCTCCGTGTTACCTACACATTTCTCTTTACAATATAAGTCACTTAAAATCCTTCAAACTTGAATGTGCTTGCTTGGGTCTTTTGCAGTGCAATTCAATTTTCATACCTGCGTATTAAGAAATAAAGGAGCATGCAAACTCTACAAAGAAAAATAAACCAATCTACAGAAAAAAATAACTCGTTTATAATATGTTAACTTTTCAGGGGAGTATGTAAAAACTTGACTTTTTCTATGAACCATTTAAACACAAGGAACATTAAGCTGTTTACCTTTGCAAAAGTATCCAGCTTATCTTTGTCATATAAGATTCTCAGCATTCCGGCACACAGTGGGCAGCAGGCTCCTGTGTAATAAGAACAAAACACATTGCAGAAATCAAAGTTTATTTTCTTTTCAGTTTAGTTAAAATAAGCAGAGGTCAGAAGCTGAATGTTAATTTTGAACGAAAACAGCAAAACTAGCAGAACGAAGTACATCTTTCAAAGTGACAGCAGAATCATTCAATATCCAAGGGTCTTTATGATTAAAAAATTGACACTGCCAAATCAGTTGCCTTTTGGCATGCAATAACTACTGTACATAAGTACTGTAAGTTAGAAGCAAAAAGATAGATTTTCAATTCTTCAAAGAAGATATACCGCTGTAAATTAAAGACCCAGGCACACAGCATATTGCAAGGCAAGGTACTAGATGTATGTGTGCAGGTGACAACAGACATGGTGGATTTCAAAAGCTGAAACAGCTAAATATTAACATGGTACCGCAAACATTAATTATGCAATTATATCATTTTAGAACTCAGTATCTTTATATAGTAAGGAGGGAAAAACAATTTATCTGACAGATTCCTATTTGCACAGAAGCACATTGTATTTCACAGACTCACAGAAAGGTTGAGGTTGGCTGAGATGTAAAGCTCATCTAGTCCAACCCCCTGCTCCAGCAGGGACACCCAGAGCACAGGGAGGCATCCAGGTGGGTTTGGAAGATCTCCAGAGAAGGAGACTCCACAGCCTCCCTGGGCAGCCTGTGCCAGGTCTCTGGCACCCTCACAGTGAAGAAGTTCTTCCTCACATGGAGGGGGAACTTCCTGTGTTTCGACTTATACCCATTACCCCTTGTCTGGCCACCACTGAGAAGACTTTGGCCCCTTCCTCTCTACGTTCTCCCCTCAGGTATTTGTACATACTGATTAGACCCCCTCTCAAGTCTTAGTTCTTGTCCAGGCTAAACAGGCCTTGACGTGGTGCCCACCAGGACTCCCAGGTCCCTCTCTGTGGAGCTGCTTTCCAGCAGGTCAAGCCCTAATCTGTACTGATGCCTGCGGTTATTCCTCCCCAGGTGCAGGACCCTGCACTTGTCCTTGCTGAACCAGGTTCCTCTCTGCCCAACTCTCCAGCCTGTCCAGGTCCCCCTGGATGGCAGCACAGCCCTCTGGAGTGTCGGCCACTTCACACAGCTTGGGATTGTCCACAAACCGTCTGCAAACTTGCTCAGGGTGCACTTAGTGCCCTCGTCCAGGTCACTGATGAACAGGTTGAACAGCATTGGGCCAGGCGAACAAGTTGAACAGCACCAGGCACAGTACTGACCCCGAGGGACACCACTGGCCACAGGTTTTGGCATCTCAGAGCCAATGGGCTGAATATTTCACTTGGCTTTTTATAAGTTATTTACATTCACTTGAAGATATTTAAAGCACCAAATATTAGAGCACACAGACCTATTTCAAATCAGTGGGCAAAAGGAAACAAAACGACCGCAACTCATGCACCAAACAAATTCTTTTTGCAAACTAGGAGTTTCTTGCTACATGTTACCTGATTAGTTGTCTCAAAGAAACAATATTTGTGAAAATAAATTTTAAAAAGTTCATTTTTTTCAAAAATTTCAATTTTTTTTTTCAAAAAGAAGTGCAAAACTACTCTACTTTCATCCTTTTTTTCATAGTACTAGTGGTAAATACTAGTAGTATCTGACTCCTGTTTCTGGTCTGTCCTCTATTAAATATGACCTTCATCACTCTGCGATTCTACTTGGCAGGCAGTCTGGCATTGCAATGTGTTATCTGTGCTGCCAATTCAGAGAGTTACTCATCCAAATCCCACCAATATTCCACTCTAGACACTAGAGAATTCATTTATTTCTCTGAGCCAAGTCCTAGGACAGATGGAAGATTCTGAAGACTGACAGTGCATCATTTCTAAAGGAAAAAGCTCTTCCACCCCAGGATTACCCTGATGAGTCCTGACACCAGCCTTGATACAGCCCTCGACAACTTAGCCTCAACTCACTGCATTTTTCCCTCACAGTTATCACAAACGCACAACGGAATAAATATTTTGAAGCAACTGGGTTTCCTTCCAAGCAAACTCGGCCTATGCAGAGAGCCCGGAGACGCTCTGCCACCTGCAGTAAAATCCCACAAAGGACAGACGTACCCGGAGCAACGACAGGCCTGCAGCCGGTGGCGGGCAGCAGGGGACATTTAACAAACGCGCACTCCGTGTGGAAGCCGTAGTCCGAGAGGACGCCGACGGCCTGGCAGGGGCCGTAGTAGTCGACGGCCACGCGGTCGGCGTAGGCCGCGCAGACGCTGGCGTAGGTCTCGCCGTTGTGGCCGCACACGGGCTCCGCCGACTTGCAGAATGGCTGAAACACACAAAGAAAGTGTGTAAAGATCAGCTGAGCCACGCTAAAGACACGGGTTGGGGTATCACAGAATGTTCAAGGTTGGAAGGGACCTCTAGAGATCGTCTAGTCCAACCTTCCTGCTCAAGCAGGGACACCTACAGAAGGACACCTAGGTAGACGAAACATCTAGTTGAACAAGTTCAGCCACAATTTGCTGCTAATATTGTTAAATGTTCAAAAAGTAGAACTAGAATAAGCTGAAAGTTTATTTTTTGTATTTAATACCTATTGATAAGTACTTAAAGAAGGCAGTAGAGGAATGCAAGCCAGAACCTGAGGAACAGACAATAGGACAAACTAACTGAAAAACAAATATCAACATTAAGTGAAATGAGTTCTGAACGTGCTTTTGTCTTCTTAAAATATAGCATATGGTTGTATTTCTAACACCTTATTTTTAGAAATTGAACGTTTAAGTTTAGTTCAAGAGAAAACCATTACTACAGAACTCTGACAACAATATTTATTATTGCTGTACTGTTGTCTTTACACCTATAAAATTTGTATCTTTTTCTCTAATAAAAGCATTTCTAATGTGTGATTTGATTCAAATACATGCAAATATGATATGTAATGAAATTTCTTCCTATTGTAATTACTACAGTGTAGTAATTCCTAAGTGTAATCACTAACCTTTCACAGAGAAGGTACAACTAGTATTGTTGTCCAAATTCCTGTGAAATGAAACAGCTCAGTATGTAATTTTTTGCTGAGGTTTAAATACTTTATTAATTAATATTTCAAGTAGGTCACCACATTATTTAATCCCTGTACATCCTCTAAAATAGCAATATTGTTGCAGTCTTTATGCCACACACCTAACAATAAAATGTACAGAGGACAAGGTGAGCATCACAAGAGCTTCATATCTCACGTATGCCGTATGTCCTCTTCCCTATAAACAGGAAATCATGAGAGTGAAATCCTAGCACTAGCAGTGTCAAAGACTTCCTGAACAAGGTTACAACTGGATCTATAACTGCTGGGATGGGAGGGAAAGCCATACAATATTCCATTCTTAGTATTCAAAGCTGGTACATTCCTTCAGTATCTCATGAAGTATCTGATGGGCAATGAGAATTATCTTTATTGAACACGACTGCTGGAAAAAAATATATATATTTCTGCAAGAAAGAGAAGGCAGAAATAAAGTGGGTTAAAAACATTTATGATATGGAAAGATCCAAAGAAGCATTCTCCACTTTCAAGAACAGTGATGAGCTGAGATAAAAAGGTCTCAAATTCACATTGATTATTTGAGGGAAAAAAAAAAAAATGAAGATGGCTAATGCATAAGCAGTAGGCCAGCAGCTTTGAAGAGTATCTCCTGGGCCACAGGTAAGGCAAGAGAAGTGACAAACAGTGTAGGGGATGGTGGTACAGAGTAAATAACCTGTTCTAATGTATTTTTTTCAAGATTGATCTGATCCAGAGCAACTAAGGAAAATGCTACAGATGTAAATTGCTATTTACAGAGTAAATAGATCACGAACAAGAGGCTTGCAAAAACGTAGGGCACAAACAAAAGAGTGAATACTTTTATGCAGTTGCTGCTGCCAAGACAGCAGCCACTCCCAAACATTTAACTTTGCTATTTATGTTTACAGGTAACACTACCATATTCATTAATTGTCTCAAAATAAGTCTGGAAAAAATGGATTTAGCATAAATCTACATGTGCCCAATAACAACTGATCATTAACTTACATTTTTTAAAAATAGTATTCATCTTGATGAAAATTAACATTTAACTATCCAAGAAACCACAAAAAAATGCTACAAACGTACCTCAAGGTAAGCTTTAATAGTGAATAAATATGGAAAGACTTCATATAAACAGCGTATTTGCCCCTCAAAAAAAGCAGAAGCAAAACTTTTAATTTGTTCCAAGGCAACTGCTAATTAAAGCAGAGACATATTTGACAAAATCCTGGGTATCATTTTGTGCCAAATGCTTTTCTAAGAGCAAAGTTAAAATTATACTTTTGAAGTATTACTTTCAACAAAAACATTTTGCAAGCCAGAACCACCACAATATGACAGAGCCGAACATCAAAGAACATGTGATATTCATTGCTACAACCATTTCATACCTGGCACGGTCCTCGGTACGATAAATTTTTTCCCTTTTGGTACAAAGTACACAAGTTAATGTATTCCACGTTGTCTGTGTCACAAACAGGATCCCGTGTCTGGTCACAGTTTAATTGCCTTGGCACACATTCATGTTGGCTGCATTTGAACTTTCCAAAGCTTGTCAAGCAAACTTGCTTCTTTGGTATGCACCTGCATAAAGTGACAATATTATCACAACACAGGATTTTTTTTTTTTTTTTTTTTTTTTTTTTTTTTTTTTTTTAAAGTCTCAAAACACTCAGGACAAGAATCTTAAGTAGTGACAGCTTTTGCAGTGCTCTAGAGCTAACTGTGGCCAATGAGAACTGCAGGAAAAGCAAGGGACACAACACAGCGCATAACCAGTTTCAAGACAAACCAGGAACTTGTTCGCACCCCACTTAGCCACTGGATGTGAAAAAAGCCTAAATATTCTCAATAAAAATGGACCTTTTATCCATCTTTTAGCCCAGTATTGTTCTATATATTTTAGAAAAAAAGTTGTTTCCCCCTCCCCTCCCCCCCAAAGAAAAATACAACTTCTTGCCTATTTCTAAGCTCTAATTTGTAAATACATATTTAAGCAAAGGCAGAGAAGAATCAAAACAGCAAACTGCAAGGGAAAAGGATAATACTGTAGAGGTCAAGCCCAACTCTCCCTTTACAAAGGAAAATCTAGTACTGATCTAATTTCCTTTTGGGTGTGTCTAGGCCTCTTAACACTTCACAGCTAAGAAGAGCAATAAACAGCAGAAATTCTTGCCCCTTTTTCTTTGTATTAAATACATACCTTACACAGCCTAATCTGCAGAACATTTGCCCTATTTCCTGCAAGAGATCTCTCGGCTAGTTAGAGCACTGCCAGCCAGCAGAACTTGATGAATAGACTGATGAAGGGTCAAAATGGATTTTCCAACAACCTCTTTTCTATAAATGAACACAACGCTGCCTGGATCATATGCAATGTGCCCTTATTCTTTTTATCCCATGCTTTACACATTTTCCCTTTATACTGGAAATGATTTAGAAATTGCTTTAAATGTAAGGGCAACGTAAGGCCTTACGTGAATTCAAAGTACACAAGAGACATTTTAAATGTTTTTTTTTCCTAAAAAACCAAAAATCATGAAATTTCAAAGTTAAAGGCAAAAAGAGCATGTACATCCTCAATGCAGCTTTAAAAGTCATACTTTCCAATGCTTTAGCTATTACTACAAGTACAAAATGAGTGTTTTCTGCATCAAGGCCCAGAAAAAGGAGGACAAAAAAAAAAAAAAAAGTATCAGCATCATCAGCCTTCATGACAGCACAGTATTGCACAAGTTCCTGTAGTGGCTTTATTTCAAAACAGAACATGTAAAATTCAAGACAGACTGTATTGCACAACACAGAGAAAATTGAAGACAGAGACTGTTGTTCAAAGTCGCACACTTTTACTTCTGTAACAAATGTCTAATTTTCTCCTGTCACTATTACATAGCAATAATTTAGTATTTTTGTCTATATAGCTTTTTTTTTCCTTACCTGGAAAACCCACTAATTGTGCAGAGATTAGGTTTTCAACGATATCAATCTCATTGTGCAAGAGAAGATTAAGCATTCCAGAGTGATAGATATTTCCTATCTTGGCAATAAAAAAAAAAGTATGGTCATTACTGACTGAGCAAGCCAGATTGAGTCCAGCCTTCAATTTCATGTTTTTTTTCTTTTTAAAAAGAGAAGGGAGTATCAAGCAGAGACAAACTATTAAAGTGTCCCATCAATTCATGCTATTTCAACAAAATTTGGCCGTTCTATTTTTGAAGTAATATTTCTGTTTTACTGCTAAAAGACCTGCACAATGCATTTATGAATGAACGAATTTAATACTACATAAACAAAACCCAGAGCTGGAAGTCATTTAAGTCCATTATGAACCACCATAAACAGAATATAGTTTCTTCCTATATCTATTTTTCTTCACTGCCCCAAAAGTAGAAAGCCATTACTTTCTACTTAAAGAACTTAAAGCGCGTTTTTGCTTTTACCTCTGGTTTTTATTACACGGGTTGGGGTTGCAGGGGTCCTTGGAGATGCACGACCCGAACTCGAACTGGCTGTCCTGGAGGCCCACGCAGCGGGCGATGCAGGCACTGGGGTAAGTGCGCCCGTTCCGGCCGCACACGGGCACAAACTGGTCCACGCAGTTACACGGCAAGCCTGGAAGAGCAGCACAAACGGGAATGGGGCGCATGCCTATTTTCTGTGATGGGAAGTACGGGAGGGTTCACTAAGGCTGCTCTGTCCTCTTGCAATGCAGACATGTACCGTGTCTCCAGCTGCAGCTTCTACCCATAGCATTTATACGTACAGGTAGTTGGAAGAGAATTTAATCTACAGTCTCGCTACTGAATACACTCAATTTCTCCCGTTTAATGCCCAAATTCCTCCTCTCTTACCTAAAGGGGCACTCTCCTGTCTCGATCCATTTTTATAGATTTCCTGAATTATATTTTCCAGTACTACCTTTGTTTTATTTTATTAAAAAGACACAGGGAAACAAATACTTGAAGGCAATCTTCGTATCAAATTACCAGACATTTCCCATGAACACTGCGAGCCGGAGAGCTAATCTTGTTAAAAGTAACAAGCCTTGGATTTCTGTGGGTTGGAAAGTTACCTGTAAACTTCCGCCGTTCGTCTTCCGAGCTATGCTCGTTCAGACACTGCCGCGTAGAACATATCAGGTTCCCAGCAAAACAAGAACAGACGTTGCAGTCTATGCTAAAGGATGTCCCATGGCCTTAAAACAAAGGAAATCATGTAAATTAATATAATCAATGCACACATACCACAGGGACTACAAACTCATGTGCACTGAACAGATACAATATTTGCAGTATTAATTGTTCCTTTCGTTTCCCTTGCTGAATTCTTTTAAACACGTGCAGTTTATCTTCCGTTAGATTGTTTTAATCATTTCAAGAAAAAGTCTTTCACATGTGTTTTTGATAAATTAGTCGAGCACAGAAGCAAGCACTTCAGTCTTTAAAGGCATGCCCAAATTAAGACTTTCTTAAAACCATGACTTTCTAAAGCTGTCATGAGAAATACACTCAAAAAGCATTCAAGAGTGGCCCATAGGGCTCTCAACAATCCATCTTGTTAAATGTTAAGTTTTGATAAATACGTATTTCTTCCTGAACTTGTTTTACGTAAAACTGTCAAACTCTGAAGCCGTTTAAGGCGGGATGCAACAACTCATCTGATGTGCTCATTTCTCTCTTCCTGTCTTGCAATTCATCAATAGGTAAAAAGAAACAGTCTTCATTTTAGGCTTTATCATTTTGCAACAATCTTTGCAGACAGAATTTAAGTCATAACAAGCAAACAAGCTGCAATGATTAGTTCCGTGCAGCTGTCTGGAGCAGGAAACAAGAAAGTTCTTCAAACAAACCGAAACCTGGATCCAGGCTCAGTGCAAGAATATATATACGCACACATATGGAGATGTGTGCCCACAAACTGGCTTTCAGAAAGGAGCAAGGCAACTTCATTCTTGGAGGAAACTCACAACAGTAAGTGGTGGGGGAAAGACAACAACAGATACATCAAATAAAGCACACTAGGAAGTTCTGTAAAGTAAAAAGATAAGAACCGAGTATTATACATAGGGATGTGGACATGAACTTTTTTGTTTCTTTGCACACTCTGCATTCAGATGTCCTTGGTCTTCATATCTTATCTATATTTAATTATTTAAGAGGGAAAACATGCCATTGGAAGACATACTTACTTACTTACTAGTACTTACTTTTTCTTTGTCCTCCGACAATACATGATTTTTGGAGATCAACACAGTGCATTTCCATGCAGTTTTCTAGCAACCCACTGTGTCCACAGGTACAAATCTTGTAACAACCAACGTCACCGGCTGATGATGGAACCTGAATAAGTGTACCTTGACGGACAATAAAATCTGAGGCTTCCCCCAGTTTGCAACCTACAAAAAAGAAATTTGAGTTCAAATTAAATTAATTCGTATGCAAGCACCAATGCCAAAAATAATTACTACTGATTGACTTGTGAAAAAGCTACAGGTATCTCCAGATGCTTGAAAAAGCAGAAACTAGGCTTTGCAAGCAAAAGATTTGTTCACTGCCAACAGAAAGTACATCTTTGTGCAAACAACAGTGCTGGTTATTTGAAACAGTCTTGCTCTTGCATGTCAGACAAATTCTGAAAAGTCAACAAGCAGTACACACGGAAGATACTTGCTTGAGACAATTTTCTGAAGTATTTACAGAACTGGAGCTTCACAGAAAAAGATTGGTAATTTCAATAGTTCTCAAGGAATCTCATTTTCCACAGTTCTGTACAAGCCATATATTATTTACACTTCATTTTTTCCCCCAGAGAGAATCTGAGTTAAAGACTCAAAGCAAAGCCTAGTTTTTCACATTTCTTTTATTATGTCTTCCTCCCCTCCTTGTACTATTAGAAGAACATTGAAGAACTCCTTAAAGGTACACAAACAGCAGGAAACAGCAGGAAAATTGGTGAAAAAAATATGTAAAAGAGACAAGTTTTAAAATTGTAAAGAAGAAATAGCAAAAAAAGAAAGTTTAAAATTATACTAGCAGCAACTGCTGAACTGTAGCCAATCTCTAGAACCTTTCAACCATTAAGAAGATTGAAAACAGACAAAAACAGAAGAAACAAACTGATTTGAGGGACAGAACTTGTCTGTCTTGCACTTCTGCCTTTTTCTGTACGCAAACAATGAACTACAACGAATGCACAAGCAAACATTAAAGACGAAGCTCAAACAGGCTGCATCATTGTCACAAAAAATCAAATACTAGAGGGAAGAAGAGAGGCAAACTATTATGCTGCTTGTCACTTCTTTGCAAAGCCTTAAACATGGGCACCATGAACTGAATGTAGGGAGAGGCTGGAGCAACAGTACAGCCCTTAAGAAAAAACTTGGGTACTAATAAACTTAGACCTAAATAGTTACCAGCAAACTTCTAGAGAAGTTTTGAAATCAGATATTTATCAGATATAAAAAATAAATAAAATAATAATAAAAAAATCACATAAACAGAAGTCCAAAATTCTTACCTGGAACACAGGCGTACGGAAGACACAGTTCTCCAGACTGACATCCTTTTCTATTTACTTCACATAGCTGGTTAACAGCACATGGATTTGGATTACATGGATGTGTAACTTCTTCTACAATGTTACCTAGAGAACTTGGGCCTGAAAACAGAATACAGGCATTTTACAGTGATTCACATGGGGTCTGTATTTCTGCAATAAACATATTTCTTGCACATAGTTAAGTAAAATGCTTTTGACATTTCTGTGAGAGCTCTTTACTGTTTAATTATACTCATAGAAACCTGAAATGTCAAAAGCTAAATCTTCAATCCCCCAAAATAGTGGCCTGAATTATTTTTCCACAAACAAAATTTGCTTTAACTTGTTTCCTATAAATTTCGTCAACATGACAAATATACAGAGATGACCAGTGCGATCTCTTAACGAGCAGTTTAATCAAGAGCCACAATCCATGATTAAGTACAAAAAATGTGGTATTACTGACAAACTTCTATGACATAAGTAGCTTTTGTTTTCCTTTAGCTCATTACCCATGTTCTGTTTGTACAACATATGAAAAACGGAAAACACCATGTAAAAGCAGCAGTTAAATGGAAAGAACGACCACACTGTCTCTTCAGGACCAAAAGGAATTAATCTTATGAGGAGGAACTTCTTCCCTGCGAGGGTGCCAGAGCCCTGGCACAGGCTGCCCAGGGAGGCTGTGGAGTCTCCTTCTCTGGAGATCTTCCAAACCCGCCTGGATGCCGCCCTGTGCCCCGTGCTCTGGGTGTCCCTGCTGGAGCAGGGGGTTGGACTAAATGAGCTCTAGAGGTCGCTTCCTACCTCAAGCATTCTGGGATTCTGTGATTCCAACTGCTGCTGAAGCAATATTAATTTAGATGTTGAAGCATTATTTCAATTGTAGCTCCTCCTAACCAAATTTTACTATTTTCAAATTTTCTAGGATTTTGAGAAAAAATTAACATGCCAGGTTTAAATAAATAAATACATTTTAATAGGCTAGATTATCATCTGATACAGATTAGTATAGAAGTGATTCCATGAATTTCCTAAAACAGAAGCAATGAAGGTAGTGAGATAACAGCAATCTGAACAAGCAATTCTTCTCTAAAACGCTAAATAAATACTTATATTCCTGAAGTTAAATTAAAATTTTCTCTAAAATAATAATGGAAATGATTAAAAGCAATCATAAGCATTCAAAGCATTTTGTTTTTAGTTTCGTTGCACAGGCATGTTGATGTTGATACTTACTCAGGTATGTATCCAAAGGAATACAGTTCTCCAAGTCATCTGTTGGAGATAAGAGCTCACAAATACTTTCAGCTGTATGGCCTTCAGGAAACCTATTATGATCTCCACATTTCTTGAGTATTTCTACACAGTCTGATCTTTAGATAAATAAATAGAGAGAACTTCATGAACACTACTTTAAGAAAAAAAAGGGCTTGCATGAAAAAGATTGCTTTCTACTTTCTTCCCTTTCCTGAAATTACACTTCTCCTGTCTCCTCTCACAACCAAGTGTTTATATATATCTGCAAAACTTCACATATATGAATACGGGAAAAAAAATGTGCTACAAAGGCAGGAACTATTGTTTACCCTACTGTTCCTTTACTTTGGCCTGGTCAGTCTATACTTTCTATGGCCTCATGTGAGCTTTATTCTTCAAGATTAAGCATTTCCTTCCTTTAGCACCATCTAATAAGATTTGAGCTCATACCTCACTACCTGCACTGATCACCACTCTTTTCCACTCAAACAGACATTCTCAAAGTTTCATATATTTCACAGACTTTTCCTCTGTTAGCTGAAAATTACCAGTATATTAAAATTTAAAGAGAAGAAAGGTTTATAGGCAGCACAGATGAACAAACAAAAAAAAAATAATCTTTCCAATGGAAACACACACATCTTTTACTAACAAGCAAGCACCTTCAATCTATAGTGATAAAGATTGAACTAAGAGCAAGTAGGAGTTTCAGGTAATATGAACTCACATCCCTTCCACGTTTGTCTCCTCTAATATGAGCCAGAATCATACAGTAGCTTTCCAGTTCTAAAGAAAACCCTTGGCAGAACCCATCAAATGGTGTTTTTTTTTTTTAATACTTACTTGCAGATAATACTTCCTCTAGATTTGCTGTGGCAAGGTTTAATCTGCAATGAACAGGCAATTGCCTTCCACATTTCTGGTTGACATTTTTTAATATCAAGAACAGGAATATTTATGAATGGCATCTTAATACTCCCTTTTTCCCATAGCTTCATGTCATTCATAGCTCCTTGGTCTGACTGAGCGTTACAGCTCCTGAAAAGTTCTGTTGGTCTTAAATAAATAAATGAGATATGGTAAGTATACCATAAAAGGAAAAGAACAACACAAGCTTTACTTTTCACTGTAAGAATTCTACCATTCTGACACTGCTAGCCTTCTGTAGCACAAAAAGGCACAAATGCCTTCCATAATTAAGCAAGACTGAAAAAATATCTGAATGAAAAGAAGCTCTAAAAATCTCAAGGCTGAAATTCTGGATCAAATACTTTTTAACATGAAGGCTGACTTAAAAGAAAATGAATGCATAAATATTAGGAACTTCTGTATGAATGCTTCATGGTGAATCACTAATGCAAATTACATAGCTCATCTTTGTTCAAACTTTTGTTCAAAGTCTAATATTCTCAGGAAAATGTTAAGAGTAACATAACATTTTTAAAGCATTTCAACCATATTTTATAATGCACAGGAACCTAGTAATCACAACAATTACTTATAAAATAAGACAGAGGAGCAGGTTGATAATGCTGGATGACATTTTAGAAGTTCATAGGTTGGCTTTTCTAGTAAACTTTCCAACAAGACTTAAATACATTTCCAAAAACCTTCCAAAGAAAATTTATTTTAAAGTTGTTATCTAAAAAAGAATTTACAGAAAGACAGTGACAAAATCTAAAAACAGATCTTATTAAAAAAAAAAAAACAACAGCACCAAAGTACAGGAATTCCTTTATAAAATAATCAGTGCATCTCTCCTACCTGTTATTAAAATTAGTGCAGTAAGTAAGATTTCTACAGCCCAGTTGACAAGGTTCTCGTACATCTGCTAAACAGGTCAACATGGAAACTTCTACTGCGTTATACTCACAAAAGCGATCAAATTCTTGCCAACTCTGTGAATTGCCCCAGCTCGTGCTATAAAGCTTAGTGCAGAGCTCTCTGAAAGAGAAATAAAGAAAACAATCAAATGAAAAAGTGGCAGTCTTTCTGATATTGTAACAGAAGCTTTCTGTATGTTCACTGCTCATCACAGTAGCCTAACTGTAGACATCTGTGTTAGTGCCCACAAAATAAGTAAGACAATCCATATTCTGTGCTTATATAACCCCACTCAACTAGCAAACTTTCCAAATTTTCTGCTAAATTTTCCAGTTTGGTTTAAGAATTCTACCAGATTTTAAACTGGTAAGACTGAAAAATTTCATAGTATAAAACTGCAAGACCTAACACAAACACAAAGAAAAAGGTGGAGTTTGCAGGAAACGTGAACCAACGAGGGAAGAAGTATCCTGAGCAATTTTATCTGTACTAAACCAGGCTGACAGCACAATAAACAAATACTAATCTCATCCTTCTTCATGTCACATCTTCTCCTGCTAGAGGAAAACTAGGCAAACAAAACTATATTTATCCCTTTGCCCTGATGTTCAAGGCAGTAAGTTGTTCATTGCCTTCATTTCACTTCTTTCCTGGTGTCAGAAATAGCCAGGCCACTTTGTTCACAGAGACTGTGAAACTGTCCACAAATGAAGATATGGAACCTCACTGCACTATTCTAGTCTACTGCACTGAAAATGTGGAAGAAATTTCAATTTTCAGAACTAAATATCAGAGCAAGCAAGTAAAGACATTACAGCAATTGCACTGCTGCAAAAATCATAATTCCAGGACCTCCATAAAACTTTCCCTATAAGATCCTGACATATTCAAGTTGTTTGGTTTAATTAAATTTCAATGAAAAAAAAGTTTTAATCATACAATGTGTCCTTAAAAGGCCAGAATTAACCCTTTCTAAAGCGAGTGAATAACCCCTCTAAATAAAAAGAAGTTTGAGTTACTTGCAAACACACCACTATTTCACCAAAACCAGATTTTCATATGGGAATAGTTAATTCCAATATTTAATTAATGCATTGCCTAAGCAATCTTTCATGGGCAATGTAAAATATACAGGGTTTGGAACACAGCACAATCATTGGCTTTTGACACTTTGTACTGATCCCTTTCCCCTTAGTTCTCATTCGCAGCTGGTTATGGCCTCCTCAGCTTACTGCAATATTAGCTACTACCACCATGAACACAGATTGCACTAGACTCGTGTTTCTGCTAAAATAAGCTATAGATGAAAGCAGGAAAACTGTGATTCCCTTAAAATAGACAGTACTTATTGAGATGGGCAGAACGTGTCACTCATCGTTCCCAACCCTGCTCATCTCTGACAACTCGTGGAAGTCAGTCCTTGATTTACACGGCAGGACGCAGGCCAGGCGCTGGCACCAGGCAACTTCTGAAGCATCTTCAAAGCAGGACAAGAGGAGAGAGAGACACTGACCTACAGGTGGAAGAATTTGCCTTGGCGCAGCAGTGGAGCTTGGCCCCATCGAGGCCTGTCGAAGGCGGCGGGTGCACCGTGACTCCGGGGTGAACAGAGCTGGAGCTCTCCAGAAAACACTGCCACAGCGGATCTTGCGGGAGAGGCATCGTTTTGCAGCCTTCTATGAGCCCGTCTACAATCTCAAGCTCTGTTTTCATGGACATCAGAATTCTTTTACAAGCAGCCTGACATGCATAGTCTTCTGCTCTATCGCAACAATACAAACCTGGTAAAAAAAATAAAATAAAAAGTCAGGAGTTAATTATCCAGCATGTAACAACTACCAAGACATATTACATGGGCAGCCTTTAAGAAAACTGTTAAGGAAGCACTTTTTTTTAAATAAACTCCAATAACTGTAGTTCTTTTACTTCCTTTAAATGTAAGCATAATCAACTCTGCAGAAAAGCAAGAACTTCAATAGAATCTATATGCTGGTTATCAGCAATGCACCCTTATACACCTAAATTTATCTTTGTATAAATTTATATGACTATACATAGGTAGTTATATAATCCACAGAGGCGATTTATACAACAATACTACTTGTATAATAAAATTTACACAATAAACCCTCAGTGCTTTTTACAATTTTCATAAATAAAATAATTCTAATACTCACTATCTGTAGGGTTTCTCATCGGATATGACTGTGTATAGTTGTTCACGCAGTGTATTAGCTGAGGGCTAATAGATGCACAGTAGTTTTCAACTGCTTTAATTTGGGAAGGACCGGGAGAAGAATCTGTCCGAAAGATCGCTTGACAATATTCCCGACAGTTTGTGTGGTGACCTGCATAACTGCAACAGACTGATCCCACTGGGGAACAAAAGAACCCACAGAACAAAAACAGAAAAACCTAAGGGTTTCTATATAGAGAAACAAGCAACCACAGAGTTATGCTTAAGATATTCCTGGAACAGAATGTCAAACCAGCTACAGAAACACTGGGCCTATCTGTACCTCGCCAAAGCGTGTTTTCTTGTTGGGTTGGAGAAAAGAAAAAGATCCAAAATTCTGCCTTGAAATCAAAGTTCAAATCAGTGCAAGCCAACTCACTTGAATATTCCTGTGTTTTATTTTTATTTAAAGTAAAATAATCAGACTTATCTGATTGAACTATTCGGCAAAAATTAGAAGATAAATAAATATGGGAGTACTATCTAAAAACCTGTCTAAAAGATGGAGAGAGGGTATCCTTCTGCTTCATCATTTCTATCACGCTATTAAATATGCAGATCTTCAGAAATATTTTAAAATAACTAGCCTGAGAAACATCCATTTCTTTTCAATTAAAAGAGCCTTTATATGGAGCAAATGGGTTTCTAAGCAATGACTGGAGTATGACAGAAAAGATACAAAAGATGCATAAGCGATACATAAATGAAGGCTTAAAATATACAGGCAGTTCAATCCTCCTATTGGTGGAGCAGGCATGTTTGTATGCGGTTAATTGCTGTACTGTTGCACAGTAAACTCATGCTTTGTAAACACAGACCTACAGAGTTTTTTTAAATGTTAGAGGAAAGTTAGAAATGAGAATTTGTGAGGAAAACAAGAGAGAAACTATTCATAACGTACTTACTTTCATTTCTGTTAATACAACTAAAGAGAGCATTCTGAAAACAAAACAAAAATACAGTTAAAAGAAAGCTTTAAATGCACACTTAAGTGTCAGTCACTTTCATTATGAGCAAATTCAATTTTGTTATTGCTCTAATTCACTCTAAACTGGAATAAAAGCACTGTGTAAAAATAGTGAAAGTGGGAAAAAAAATTCTGCTTGCACTCTTGATGAAACACATAAATATCCAACCAACTGAATAGAAATACATAGATATTCAACCAACTGAACAGAAAGATTTTTATAGACTCAGAAATGATATTATGGAATATGATGTATCCCAATTTTGTATTCATTATTATTATTTCAAAGAATCAACACGGACAGCTATGGGCAATCACACAGACAAACAGAGCATCAAGCTTCCAGGTACAGCCTTGCTGCTATTATTTTAATCGTAGTGCATAAACCCATCACAGTCATCTCATCGACAAGTACTCAAAATAATCATTATCACTGGCCAAATTTTTCCCTCACCAAGAGAGAGCCGGGCTTCCCTTCCTCTCACATCTGTGCCCACATACTCAGCTCAATGTGAGTATTCCAGCCAGTGGAATACTTTTTTCCACAAGAAATAGTGCCAATCCTCATATTTCAGCGAAAGAGCAAGACACAGACAGTGGCCACTTATTTTCCCCCCCCTCCCCGCTCCAGGGACCTGAGCTTGTTCTTATATCACCACATAAGGAAATAACTTCTGACTTCAGATATAATCTGCTTAGTATTAGATGAATAAATAGGAAGCTGCAGGTGCCTAAATTCCCGCCACAGAATAAAGAGTACCAAGAATGTTTCTATACATCGTATTTTTTGCCATAAAGTGACAAAACAAGCACCAAGCTTGTTTTCTTTCAACAAGAATGGATAAGAAAATATCTTTACTATAGAACAGTCTTTCCCATTGAAAACAGAGACTTTCTAGGCTAAAATGCAGACAGTTCCACATTCATGATAATGATAAAGCTGATGGGAGGGAGAAGTAGACTAAGAAATTTTAGGTGAGCACAAAAGTCAAGGAATAGTTGGTGCATGTAAGTACAAATAAGAGCACATTTACAAGTACACACACACACGCTTGCAGACAGAGAGGTGTCCAAGGGGGAAACCCAAGGGAATATTAATGAATATGAATGTATTTTTTTTTTAAATTACATAAAGGGAGAGTTTTATGAAGCCAATTACGGTACATCCAAATCAAACATTGCTTGAAGCATATGCCATCAACTCCATCTATAGCAGCCAAAAGGTACAACTGGGAAACAACCAACATGTTAACCTAGAAGAGGAGGAGGACGTACATCCAATTGGTTTGCTTCAGAGCAATGTAAACTAATCTAAAGTCAGTTCACTGAAAAAGAGAGGCTGCATTCTGAATTCTAGCCCAAAACAACCACTTTCCCACATTAAAATACAGTTCTCCTCTCAAAAACAGATACTGCATACAAGTTTTCTGAAACTCCCTGACAGCATTAGGTTTTGTATGGAATACAAACAACACTTAGAATAATGATGTGAAGCTACTTTAAACTCAGCTAAAAATTGTCGCAAGTACACATAAAAATAGCCCAAAATATGGGTTATAGTATGTCTACTAGCATTCAGCCTCTGGAGAAAAAAGGCAAGGCCCAGGTTGGTGCAAGGTTATCTTCTTGCCAAATTTCATACACCTCTTAAGGGAGACAAACAGGGTCCTCTAACCAGATAAACAATCTTCCTCTTTCTGTACTTGGAAACTGCAGTTCCCTGGACTCCTGAATCACTTAAACAGCTCATAGGTTACCAAGAAGAGGCAGTATTTTTTTTTCCTCCATTTGTTTTCCACTTTTCTCTCCTGCTCCCCTATATCCTTCCATAGTTCTTCTATATGATTGAGCGGGTCCTTACAGCAGCTCTGCCAACAATCAACTCTCCACGAGCTGATTTTTCTCAGTGACCCTGCAGAAAACGTCTCCCTTTTTCCTCTTGTGCTAGGAACTGAAAACACCCCATAAAAGGACCTGCCAGATGCCAGAGGCAGAATAAGGTAGTGGTGGGAGAGAGCGTGTGTAGAAGACGGGATGTTGCAGGAGGCCACAGGGACACGTTTTTGAGAAGTACTGAGTTGCTAAAGCAGCATCTCATGAACCTGCAGCCCACAGTCACCACAGGACACAGCGCTGCTCAAGGTGCTGACTTTCCTCCTCAGGCACGTCTGGAGAGCTACTCAATGTCCCAGGAAGTATGGCACACATAGGGATAGCATGGCTATGCAGACATCAGAGAACCTCAGGAAGAATAACATGCACCCATCGATTTGTCAAATTAAGCTGATATGTTTGACTGTGTAAAAATGATGACTGTGTAATGTGACTAACCATAGCTTCACTACAGAATGCAGGGTTAATCCCTTCTTTAACCAACTAACTCTCATGTTTAAGATACTAGCAGCTTTTCTGCCCATTCAAGCTTCCTTCTGAATCTACTACCTAATATTGCCAACCAAGATTGAAACAGTGCTCTGATAACTGAAGACAGAAAAAAAAAAAAAAAAAAAAAAAAAAAAACCACAAACAAACACCACCCCACACATCAGGAATCAAAATAGACATCCAGGTAAAGGGAAAAGGAATAGGAACAGAAGTGTTGCCTAAAGGAAGGTAAAAATCATCAAGAGATGGAAAAATGAATGAATGCAATAGGATAAACACACACACAAATACTCCGTTTTTTTCTGAATTTGTGAATAAAATATTGAGTGAACAAAGATGGCAACACTGAAATTTAAAGAACACACAGAGGAGATCCGTTTTAATTACTCATTAATCTCATCCTCTTTCAGATTTCTTTTTACCAACTGGTTGAAACTTATACTCAAAATTACTAAGTTTATAACCAGATTCCCAATTATAAAACTGGAAATGGAAAGAGACAGGCAGAGACAAGGAACATGGGAGTTTCTAGTTTAAGAAAACAGTCTCAAAGATCTTTTGGTGTTACAAAAACCGAAAACGCAACTGACATTTAGTCAGTATTGGCCACTTTTCAGGTTTCCCCACTAAAAGCTCCTGAAGCAAGAGTTCAGCCAGTACTGCAGGACCTAACTGGTTTCGCTCTTTTTGGAGCTCATCAGCTGCAGGTAACGGCTCAAAAATAAAAATAAAATAAAAAACACACACGCACACAAACACATACATGAAAGCATTCTGCTGAAGAAGCAAATTTTTCCTTCCTAAGACGTTTTTCAATTATAAGAACACTTTTTTCCTCTCTAAACTACTGCCTTTTGTACCTTGAATGAAAAAAAGACAGTAATAAAGTTATATTTATATCAGAAAATAAATAAATCAAAGCTTCATTTTCCCCCCTGAAAAAACTTTTTAAAAATAATCAAGGTATCTATATTAGGTTAACTCTAGTGGAAAAATAAATTCAGTTGTTTCGTTATGGGGAAATTAGCAATGTTAAAATTATCTGAACACAGATCCTACCTGATTAAGACTATCTTAAAAGTATAACTACAAACACTCTAGAAAGCCAAGTGCTTCCTTCTACGAACACAGCAGTGAAAGTCCTGTTAATCTCTCCTTCACTTCAATCTACTTCAGAATTTATCATCAGGAGTAAAGCCACAAAACATACTAAGGTTTCATGGAGTAAAATGGAATTTTTGATGCTGCACATTCGTTTAGACCTCAGAAAATATGCAAAATCAACACTTAAGGCCAGGATTTTCTTCATTTATGCAAAACAGTGAAGAAGCAGTCACACTTGCTGCAATGGACAGCAAAATCAAGGCATTTTCTACCAACTTTCTCTGAATATAAAAAACGAACAATCAAACCACCACAAAAAAGTAACAAAAAAGCACGAGAAGATAAGGTTAACAATACTATGGAAATAACATGCATAGTACAGGGTCAGAGTCTGCCCCAAATTCTTGTGTAGCACATCCCAAGGGCACACACAGGCCTGTGTTTTAATTGTTCATTAAAATATTTCTGGAACCATTTCCCTCACTGTGTTCTCAAGAGCTCTTTCAGTTATAATTTATTGTCTCTGAGTAATCAGCACAATTAGATAAGAGCCTGAAAAATGCGGTCAGCAGTTTTGGAAGGGGTCATTAGTTGCCAGCATTCACTAAAAGCTCAGCCTAAAGCAGGATCTTATGATCCTAAAAGATGAAACAAGCCAATACTGTAGCACACTGAATACTTTCTAAATATTTATTGGAACACTTGAAACTGTGGGTACTGCATTTGAAATGTGAGTTTAAAAATTGTAAAAAAAAAAAGTCTTTTAGTAGTAGGAACACCAGCAGTGTTAAATACTGTGTGTTAAAAGAAGTTATAGGACCAAAAGTAGTTTTAGTTTTTGGTTGTAATGAAGAATGCCGAGCATTTCCACTTTATATTTCAGCCACATGGCAGCAGATGTTACACTGCTCAGCTGCAGAAAGCCTCTCGTAAGGCCAATTAGCTGGAGAATAAGTCATTGAACAATGACTTATTTAGAATATCCAAGAAGAAAAGCGGCAAGAACTGGAGTTCCAAATGTGCTGAGAGGGACTCGCAGTGCGCAGCGCATAGACGTGGAGCTGCCATCTGCAAAGGGAATTCGAGCACTGCCCTTGCCACACACCAAAGAACAGTCATCTTAAAAATGATCATAAATCCTTCAGAGCCTAATTCAAGTACTACAAACTAACTTCAGTTACTCCCCTAAGTGTGTATTCCATGCAGTTTTCCCCAAAAAAGAACCTTGACTTCCCACAGAACTTTCAAAAGGAGTAAAAATCAGAACATCCTCAGTACAGTCTCCATATCTTTGTTTCTTCTTCCTTTGACTATCACCTACCTTCTTTTTAGAGGAAGGTGAACAGGACAGTAGAAAGCTGGAAGAAGTAGTGAAAGATAAGAGATGAGAATCAGATAGAAAATGAAGAGAAGACACAAAACAACTACCCGAGAAGCAGAGAAGAGCATCCCCTCCCCCAATACAATCTTTCAAAAGGAGCTTATGAAGATACATTGCAGTAACATTTTCCAATATTTAGAGAGTTGTGTTAAAATTTTTGAATTAGTACATATCATACTACTTGGAAAAACAGGGTATCACTTAAAAATCTTCAATGCCCTGATCAAAAGTATAAGTAGATCATAGAGTAATCAGCTTACAAGATTTCCTAAGATGACAAGAATTACAGGCTACACTTAAAGTAATCCAGAAACATATGATCAAAAGAAAAAGAATTTTCAATCTATCTTGTAAAAAAATGGTTCCACAGTGCTAAAGTGGCTCTGCTACCACGCAACTTGCAACTCTGCTTAGCAACCTTATCTTTATTTTTAGTTTCTTCTTTTTTTTTTTCCTGACCCCTCTGAACATGTGCCGTATGCTTAAAGACTTAGGGCATATTTTGTGCTCACTAACCTAGTGGGAAGCTTAAGAAGCATCTCAAAGGGGCTTCCCTAATCTCAAAACTCTGCTGCAAAGTACTCCGTACAGTTCAATCAGTCTGGAAGCTGTAAAAGTTTTCATAAGCTATGAAAATTAGTAAGCTGTGAAAGTACTTTAGAAAAGGCAACTACAGTTATATTTTTAATTCATCTTGCTTTTACTTATACATCATACACATACAGCACCTCAGTAACAGACTTGAAATCCAAGGAAAAAGCACTACAATGGATATTTTACACTAATTCCCAAACTGAATCTACATATTTTAAATAATAAAGTATGAAGTTTTAAACAAAGGCAAACACACTGGGCAAAAAAAATCCTTCAACTTTACACATAGAGTATCTTATGAGCATAAGAATTACCTTCCTCTCTCCCCAGAACATTAAGGCTAGGTATTAAAGCAATCAATTTTCCCTACAAAAAATATGTAATAATCAACATGTACCATGTTACAGACTTCATTTTGGTCCCCAATATAACATCCCTATCTATAACTTCTAGTGTTCCAAAATAAAACAAACAAAAATGCAACATCCTCCCTCACCAGACTCCTGCCTTTTTTTCCACCTGAAAGACTTATTTCCTCTCCTATCATTTAAGGATTTCTCGCTCTCCTCTTTAGAAGTGTTGCTTCTCCTCTTCAGAAGCACTGCAAACATATAGAATTAAGGTTTTCTGCCTAGTAACAGAAAGATGAATAACCTTCCAAAATTCCAGACAAAATTGGAAAAAGAAGAGCTAGGAAAAGAACATAGGATGGCCATTTTGTAGACGTTCTTTAAGTTCTTACCTTTCCTTTCTCGTTCTCCTTCAACACATACTGGTCAACCTCCTACAGCAATGCAGAAATCCAGAAAAAAGAAGGAAACATGCCAGCATAATAGAGGGAAAGATTACAGACACGGACAGCAGCATATCATAGCATGAGAAGAGAAAGATCAGTTAAAAATCAAAGTTCATTTTCAAGAGAACAAACTATAGATCTTCAATAAAGACGTTAGGAAAATATTCCTTACAGTCCTTTGATAAAATAACCAAAGGGAAAAAACAAAGTTTGTTTAATGTTTCCTGGAAATAGGAAACATGTTGCATTTCTGTCCATATTAAAGAATACAAATTTGTCTGCTATTTTGCACTGTTGATTATGAACAGGAATTATGCAGGATTAACTAGTTTAGGGCAGAAGAGAGGAGGAAAGGAGATGAAAGCAGGTAGGAGGGACCTGGATTATAATTAGGAAACCTTTTAAAGGGAAAGAAAGTCCTAGCAGAATACAATATCTTTGTTGTGTTAAAAAAAATTGAGAGACAGAGAGAGGAGAGACAGAATATTCTGAAAATATTCTAATGATTAATTTTAAGAACAAAAAAAGCTCATAATTTCTAGAATATATAGTTTCATTGAAGCTAATAAAACTAATTAATTCTAAGAATTTATATTTAAAAGGCCATTTAAAAGATTCTCTTTTACAATAACTTCTTTAGATCAATTTAAAGATGAATCTCCCATTATATGAGTTGAAATGCTTCTCACAGTGTGAGTTCCAAGAATGAATGTCTGAGGCAGACAAATTCCTAGAAAACAAACTCTTTTAGAATCCTTATCTCTATTTTAAAAGTTGCATCTTTTTCATTGAAATTAAGACATATGCAAGTCTGTTAAACAGGGCAAGCCTAATAATTGCATGTTTACAAAACTGTAGAGAAAGGCAATTTACTTTTGAATGGAAGTGAGTACATCCAGAAATAGTACTTTAAGGTAACTCCTTCTATGGAACACATTTACAGGAATTACAAACCAGCTGATTTTTAATAAGATACAGACACATACATTGATTTTTAATAAGATACAGATACATACATACATACCTCATATTCTTTTCTGCAAACCTTTAAAACATCATTCTTTGAAGATGCCTGAAAGACAGCGACATTTTTTCACTCAGAAAATGAAAACAAAAGTCACGTTGCAAAGTAAGAACTATCCTAACTTCATCAATCCATAATCCATTCGAATTTAAGACCCAAATCACATAGAACTTCAGAAAAAGCTCAACTTGCTGGCAATGCTTTTCCTACTGCAGCCCAGGATACCACTGCCCTTCTTTGCCCAGAGGGCACGTTGCTGGCTCCTGCTCAACTTGCTGCCCGCCCAGGCTCCTAAGCCAGCAGGGCGGCCCCCAGCCTGGATGAGCCTATGTGGTTAGTCCTCCCCAGGTGCAGGACTCTGAACTGAGCTTCATGAGTTTCCTCTTCAATCATTCTTCCAGCCTTGGTAAATCCATGCTGACTAATCCTGATCACCTCCTTGTCCTTTATGCGCTTGGAAATCATAGTGAGATTAGCAGCCTGTAGTTCCCTGTGTCCTCCTTGCCCTTTCTGAAAACACCAGGCACATCTGCAGTTCTTGGAAACCTCTTCTGATCACACAGTGACCTTTCACAGATGATGGAGAAGAGCCTTCAGCAGCTCCCTCAGCACTCATGGGTGCTATCCCAGCAGGAATCACAGACTTGTGGGTGTCCAGTTTGCTTAAGGGATCCCTAACCCAAATCCTCATCCATCAGCGGGAAAGTCTTCCTTTCTCCAGACTTTCTCTCTACTCTCCAGGGTCTGACATTTCTGAGAGATGGCTTTACCAGTAAAGACTAAGGTGAAGGCATTCAGCACCTCTCCCTTTTCCATGTCCTTTCTTACCAGGGCCTCTGCCCTATTCAGCAGCACATCCACATTTCCCATAGTGTTCTTTTTGTTACTTCTAGTTGCCCTCCCACCCTTTACCAGATTAAATTCCAAGTGGGCCTTACTCTTACTAGTCCCATCACTGCATACTCTGACAAAATCCCTGTATTCTTCCCAGCTACCTGTCCCTGCTTTCATGGTCTGCATAATGCCTTCTTCTGTTTGAGTGTTGCCAGGAACTCCTTCTCCTTCATCTGTGCAAGACTGGATATTAGATGTGTCACTGCTTCAGAAATGAATTATAAGGGTGAAGCGATTATACACTAGGAACTCTGAAACTGTTTCCGTTGGCTTAGACATACACTTAAATTGCAAAATGGTTCTCAGATTTTAGAAAGACTAAAAATATACTTAAAAGATATAAAATGTATGTATTATGCTTACAGTTGTCACTAGAGCATTCTTTAGACGAAAGTTTTGATATGATAACATCAAAGGTTGAGAAACTATAGTCCTTCCATGTGGTTAAGGAAAAATCTCTCTAAAGCAGCACAAAAACGTATTTGGGGCTGTGACTGGAACGTCACATCACCAGACAGTGCACTGCACACAAAAGCCAGTCGCAGAGCCTATCTCTACGAAGCGATGCACTTCTCAGCTTTATAACTATTTTTATGCAGAGATTGTGAAGAAAGCTTCAAGAAGTATAACCAAAGTGACAGAATCTTTACAGGTTTAGTTATGAAATTACTATGAACTAAAAAAGATAGAGTACATGAGCAACAATCACATGCCTACTGTTTGCAAAGCAAAACTAAATGGATTATCTCTATTTAGTAAGTGGTAGGACAGCTCTCTCATAGGAACTTCTGTAGTTTCAGAGAAGGCTGCTGCACTTTTGAGCTGTAAACACAGTAAGACTTAAGCATATCCACATTACTAAGCAATTAAATTGGTATTATAATATAGAAAAAAGGCAGAGTGCTTCTGTCAGACACAGACTAGAGGCACCTATTTGCACAGTATTACAACCTCTTTGCATTTAGAAGGTTCTAATGTAAAATACATTATCAGCCGAGTAGTCAAAAGTAAGGCAGGTCCCAAGACACTGGTGACTCTTAAACACAACCTTCAGTTTCAGGTGAATTTTAGGTGAATTCAGATGATCCTTACACAGTAAAATGAACAACAACAGACGTCTATTTGCTTTTTAGCTCTCTTATGGAACTAAAGGAGTGGCATTAATTACACTAATGATTTCCCCCAATTTGCTGTTTCGAGGGCTTCCAATCTTTTTACTGTATTCCAACTCTTTTCACTGTATTCAGGCTGTTTCAAACCTTCCCTCACAGAGCTAGTACTTCCTAGCCCTGTCTACTGTGGCCCATGAGGTCTTTCTCACTCATTCGGTTCAGACACTTGCTGCTGGATTCTCCTGTTTTCCCAGGGGTCCCCTTAGCCCAGGCCCTTTAGATATAGCAACGCTTTTGTCTTCTCCCAGCTATGCAGGTGAGAGGCAAAGATGCACACCCTCTCCCCAAGCTCCTCATGGCTGGCAGGGTGGGAACAGCTTTGTCCCAAAGTTGTCTAGACCAAATCAACAGGATGGGATATCCCTCCAGTCACCACCACTGGCTGATCTACTTCCCTCCCTTCATTCCCTACTAAAAGCAATGCCACACACTGCAGTGGGGGGAAAGACCCCAGGATAGGTAGGTATCATGTGGTAACAGCACAGTACGCTGGAGAAGATGGAGCAGAAAAGCAAGACTAAATTATTTCTGCTTAGGTAGCCAAGTAAGACTAAGCTGACTTAACTTGCAATCCAAATTACAGATTAAAATGCAATCCTAATAGTAAACTTCATGGTTTTTTTCTTCTTGTTAGATTTCAGTGATCATGTCCAAGCCAAAATATTTTGGCAGGCATTAAACATTAGTTTGCTATTGACTCAAAGGAGAAAAAGCAAGTAAATTACCCAAATCCTTCTAGTAATGTGTACAGTGCACTTAAGAGGTGACAAAGCATTGAAGTTTTAAAGCATCAAACCATAGTATTAGAATTTTATTTTATTTATTTTTTTTTATGTTTTAAAGAGCTTGTATTTTACCTCAAGATACTGAGCGAAAAGCAAATGATGTTCTGCCCCCTCTAATCACAACATACAGCTCTCTCAAAACACCTCAAGCCAGCTCCAAAACCGTAAGATACCTTGAGCAGGTTAGAAGGCAAGTGACCGACTCCACTACTCAACTGACGTATCTTGTAGACCAGAAATTCCCTACTCAGGATTGCACATGTACCTCGTCACACATGCACACACAACACGCTGTTTAAAGAAACATTAAGTTTTCACGTTGAAAATGCTAATCCTGAGCTTAAGATTTCCTCTTCCAGGTCATCAAGTCATAGCAAAGAGCCTACTCCTACAATATTGTTAAAAATATACATCCATATTAAAGGGTAATTCTTTATATTAAATTCTTACTTAGTAGACTTGAACATTTGCTTTTTTATTGAAAATTGATATTCAAAATGTCAATCCTCTGCTTTGATTTTGGATTTTGGTGTCTGAAATTTACCGTGAGCTACGCTTTCTGGCAAATTTCTTGTCAAGTATTGCAATTTTGAAGAGTGTTTATATAATAATTAAAATTTGCTATAAAAAATGTCCTAAACCTCAAGCTCACAACAGAAATACGTCAATATGACAGGTAAAGTGCAATATGAATACAATATCCCATCCCTTAACATAAAGCACGTGACAAAACGAGAAAGCCGTACCTGTTTGCATGCTTGCCGGCACTCCACAGCAATGGCCAGCTCACAGCAACCCAAACCAACCCAGCCATCAGACTTCTTCAGAACTCCTTTAAAAATAAAAAGACAGTTCACATGACAGTAGCAAGAGAGATTGTAACATCATTTTCTTTTTCCCGCCCCCACAAGTCGGTTACTTTTCAAGTATGATAATTCCTGTTCTCTTTCACAAATCCTAATTATAAGTTTTGCTGTTTTGTAGCGACTTCTATACCCTTAATTGCAATTTTGATCATTTCATCTGGTTAATCTAAGGTGTAAGTCAGTATAAGACAGTAAAATAATGTTGTATTGGTGATCTTTTTCTTATTCAGACACATTTTCTTGTAGGTTTCAATAGCATCATTTTAAATCAAGTTCAACAGAGAATATGATGTTTCTTACTTTTTTTTTTTCTCCAAGCTTCCTCTGTAGTTTATTTCACTGATTAGCACATTTTGATATTTGAATTAACTCTCCTGTCTTCCTTTCTCTTTCTTTTCCCCTACTTATTTCATTATTCTCATTGTCCCTATTTCTTAATATAAAGTCAAACAGGAAAGAATTCTTGCCAAGAGTTTATTTCATCTCTTCTTGAGATCCCTCCAGAGCGGTCTATATTCACAGATATTTTCAAGACATCAGAAATTAAACCAAAAGAATGCATTCCCTTACCTATTTCACATGTAACCTTTAAGACAGAAATAATTAGAGAGAAAGTTTGATCTAGAAAGCAGTCTTTAGGCTCATTTTATACCTTGTCCCACTATTCTTTCCTTAGTGAAAATATACTTAGCTCAAATGAAGCACTTCCAGTTTTGTTATAAAGTCTTTTTTTTTTTTTTTTTTTTAGGATATTCAAATTATATCCTCTATCTAGGAAAAAATAAGCTAATATTAAAAGGCAAAAAACAATGAATTTCTTAATTTAAAAAGTATTCCAAAGCCCAGTAGGAATACCTACTCTGGAAAGTCAAATGGGATGCCTAGATTTAGAAAGAGGAAGTTGATAAGGTGGGTGTTACAGACCAGGGAGTTGGGGAAAAATGCTTGGAAAAAAAAATCAGAAATTACTTGTAAGGAATGGAAAACAATTGGTAGTATGGATTTATCAGGAACAAAATTGCCTTTTTAATACACCGTGTTGGCGTTGCCAACACAGATGATGTAGAACTGCCTTTGCCTATAGCCTTTCCAGTATCGGTCTCTCATGACACTCTAATAGGCAAATTAAGAAAACACAGTTTAAAAAAGTTTACAAGGAGATCATGTTTTTGATAAATTAGCATAATTTTCAGCATATTAAAACAGTAATTCAAATCTCAGAAAGCAAGTTAAAACATTAATGCTTGACACAAGCAATATGGCAGGATTGTGGGGCCAGGGTAAGGCTGAGAGGCAAAGGTGTGGAACAGCTTTTGGATCCAGCCGGCATTTGGCCAGTTTTAAGTGGTTCTGTCTCATCTCAAGGGTCTGGACTTTCTGAAAACCCTGTAGGTAAATGGGTTCAATCACCAATCTGAAGACTGTCTGAATTCTCTTCTATTCAGTCCTGGCTCTCCTTTCCAAATTGCACAAATTAGTGGAGAAGGATATGAAGGCCACAAAAAACTTTACAGTCTATTTCCGTAGTTGGGTAAGGACTTAGTTTCTCAGAGATTGAGCAACTCTCTGAAAGCATTCAGGAGATGGCTGTCATGCATAAATCACCAGTTTGTTATCAATGTTCAAAAATTCTAAGTTTGTTGCAATTTTTAAAACTAATTCCAGAAATAAACAGATGTCTAGATGAAAGTCACACAAATATGTGGAAATACACATCTGCAGTTAGTTACAAAATCAGCTGCTCCATACAGTGTCTTTTAGGCCTTAAAAATATGTAACAGTTGTTTCCTCACAACTGTCAGATGTGGAGCTCTACACAGACTCCTTGCAGTCAAAACAGTTCAGCAGAATATTGATATTTTTAAGTTCTTTTAAAATACAGGCAAGCTAATATTAAGAGAGATTATATGTTAATATGAGAATCATTTCCACAAACTTCTGTTGCCAAATCTACTTGTGCGGTTTTAGGGAATGGAAAAAAAATAAAAATAAAAAGCACACAATACTGATTGTAAAGCACTATTCTGTGCAAGATGGAGCCTGTGTTTTCCATATGTACTTTTACTAAAGCTCAACTCTGATACAAGAACCAAGTATCTGTACTTTGTACTAGAACACAGTGTAAAACCCCAAACTACAAATATATGACATGTTAAGAATGTCGATAAGCTCCAGCCATGCTCAGGTCCTCTCCCCAAAACATTTCAGAGCAGCAGATAAACTTGTGAAGAAGAGTCTGATAACGCAACTCCTTAAAAACAAATTGCTATTTTATTACAGTAACCTATAAATTAATTTTGTAATCAAAGTAATGAAAATACATGCATTTATAAACAAAAATATGCCTTCTATGGACAACAGCCTGCAACTTTATTTATCAAATATAAACAGAACACAAATCATATCACATGTGCACAGTCAGATAGAAGCTTTTCTAATTTGCAATACCATTCTCCTAAAATAAATTAATGTTGTGTAAGCTTCCTAGATTTAATAAACAAACATTGACATCTACCAGATTTTTAAAAAGAGCTTCTCTACTAAAACACTCATTAGTAGTTGCTTTCAGAAAATAAAGGACTTTTTTTTTTCTCCAGAGAATTGTTACATTCCTAAATATCCAGTCTTAAGCCTTTTAAAAGTACAACACTGAACTGGCAAGGATAAGAAAATTTTATTTACAGAGTTAATTTTTGATGATGACCCCATAAAAAAATTATTAGAAAACCATTGTGAAGGGTTTAAGTGAAAAAAATGGGGAGTGGCAGGGTAGAGATAGAAAGCTCAATACTAGCTACAAGAACATTACAATTTTATGGTGTAATAACTACAGTAATGAAGTGACTGGCAATTCAGCTTCAAAACATTAACATGTAACAGTCACAACAAGTTACTGTAAGGAAGGAAGCAGAGAAAATAAAACCACAATGAAAATACCCTAAGGATACATGTACGCATCAGACAGTAAATCATAATTACAAGTGATTTAGCACGTGTAATTACGCAACTTAGTGCATTTAACCCCACAGGCAAAATAGGTATCTAATATCCACTCTTAAATGAACAGGTGAGCATTCTGTACTGTTCAGAACGACAATAAGAAGCGTAAAAGTCTTTTCAGTCAGTCTCTGGAGACCGTCTGTACTACCCCCGCCACTGAAAGCTGGGTCCACTGAGGCCAACTGTCCAAGACCATGTTGAGTCAAATATTGGTCATGTCCAAGGACAGGGGTTCTGTAACCTCTCTGGACAACCTGCTCCAGTGTTCCATCACTGCCACAGGACAAAAAGAAGACTTAACTTTAGCTAGCATTTCCTGTATTTTAATTTGTGCCTATTGCCTCTTCTTTCATTGGTTACTACTGATATGAGTGGTCTGTTTTCTTTAGACTCTCCTATCAGAAATTTATGCAAGTTAATAAAATCACCCTCTCTCCTACCCCGCAAGCTTTCTCTTCTCTAGACTGAAGAGCACTCTCAGTCCGTCTTCACATGACATGCTGCACTACGTTCCTCTGCTTAAAGGGACAACTTAAGGCTTTGCTGAACGTGCACTGGCATGTCTAAGATTTTATCGTACTGAAGAGCCCCATAATGCATGCAACACTCTAGATGTGGTCTCACCAGTGCCGAGCCTATGGACGGATCCCTGGATTGCTTCCTTTGACCTGCTGCCAGTGGTGTTCCTAGCAGAACCCATGGTGCTGTTGGCCCCCTTTGCCCTGAGGCACATGGCTGGCTCACAACTTGCCTGCCAAGATCCTCAAGTCTTTCTGCAAAACTGCTTTCCAAGTGGTGGGACCCAGCATGTTCTGGCGCACGAGGCCTTCCCCAGGTACATGACTGTTTCCCTTTACTGAACTTTATGAGGTAGATTCTTCTCCGCCCATTTCTATAGCACGGCAAGGTCTCTCTCAACGACAGCAAAAGCCATCTGGTGTGTCCACCACCTCTCCCAGTTTTGCATCATTTGCAGACTTGCTGAGGGTCATCTAGGTCAGTAACAAAGAGGTAAGCAGCACTGACTCCAATACTGGATACGCCACCAGTGACTGGCCTCTAGCTGGACTCGGTGCCACCAATAACCACATTGATCCCAGCAGATCAGGCAGGTATCAGCCCACTTACTTAGACCGTATCTCATCGGCCTGCCTGTAGTGTTTGTGTCCATCCACTGCAAAACTCCACATGTGGGAACCTTCCAACCACATCTCTGTGACCCAAGTTATAATAACAGCCCTCTAATTACGCATCTACTTCTACTTCCTCCTGTTTGTTCACCATGTTGCATAAATTGATGTGTAGGTACTTCAGAGAGGCACTTAACTGTACTGGCTTCCCAGAAAGGGAATGAAACCTTCTCCTGTAATACTGTCCTGTAGAAACTAAAACAGTAATTTAAAAAATTTTTGCAGGTCATGGAATCACTAGAGAACAATTAGGATTTTTTTTTTCCAGAAGCAGCTCACATCAAAGAAGAAATATAACAGAATTATGCAATGTAATTTCACAAGAATGAGAAGCTTCACAGGGTGCATGAGAAGCTTTATGGGCTTCATGAAGGTACAAGGCTCAGGGCACTACAGGAGTATTTCACTTTTATCACAAGACCAAATTACGGTTTCCATCATCACTGAAGAAGTAGGTTTTTTTCCATAAACCAGATGACAGTGACATCACCCCATAAAGGCAGCAAAGAGGTCTCACATCTGGTTCAGTGGTTCATTGACATAGATTTCAAATACTTTTTTACTTGCTAACACAAACCTAAACTTTTAAAGAAAATATGTATTCCTCTCTTGCAGAAAATCCATCAACACTTATTTGTGAATAGCAGTCAAGTTTCAGGAAAGATTAGGTATTACTTTTGATTTTAAAATATCAGGTTTTAGATGACAGAAAAAAAATGTTGCAACTTCAAAATATATTATAGATACTAGAAAAATCAAACTACCAAATCCCTTTACATGGACTGGATTCTACAGTTTGCCTCTGAAATGGGAGGGGAAAAAAAGTGAAAGTAAGCAATATAACACTGTTACACCACTCTTTCCTCACCACCACTTTTTCACCTATACCATGCTCATTTTACTCAGTGTTTCAAAGCAGATACAGAGTACCAAGTCCTATTTCATCTATCTTAATCTCTCTTAACATAACAGTCCTGTTTTAAATCCATGCTTTAGTCTTCCAAACCCACCTGTAGCAAGTAGTTTGGTTCTTTATCCGAGTCTTTCCACCACTTAAATTATGTCTGTCTCATTCCTGCTATTTCTCTCAATTGCTCTTTTTTTCCAAAGAAAAAAATTTGTAGCTGATCAAAATTGCAATAATCCATAATTGTATTGTATTAAAGTATACTTATGTAGATTAAGGTATACTGAAACTAAAAATAAGAGAATTTTTAAATGGGCAAAACCCTTTGGTATTTCTCTAAGGAGACACAGATTAATTACACAAACATATCCAACAACTTCTAACCGGGAAAAGTTTTGCAAGAAAAAAATGCATATGGTAACAATTGAGGAGTAAAAGAAAAACACAAAGAAACACATACTTTAAGTTGTATTACTTTAAGTCTGTAGGTGCACGTAGTAGATAGAAGATAAAACCATGTATGTGTTTAAATAAACAAACCAATTCAACAATGAACGAGTATATCTTACCTGGCAAAGAAGAATTGATACAGCCCCAAACTTCTCCCTGAAAAGTAAAGTGCAATTAAGCAAAAGTCTACAATATAAAAGTGTTTCTAACAGATCCAAAATACCATTTTCAGCATATTCCATCTGCAGTTTAAGTGTCCTATTGGTAGAACTCATCTACACCTTAAGTATTTTTAAAGGAGGCACTAGGTCATCTAAGTTAAGTTATGTTTGCCTTGACAAGGCTGCCACCTACAGAATGTCTAATCAAGAGGAATATTGTTATAGGTACAAAACATCCCATAATAATCTGAACTACACTAGCTGGTCAACTTTCTCACCAGTATTTAGAGAATTAATCAGCAATGGGTTAGTCAAAGTGGACAGTCAAAGGTCTATCTAGAACCAAGATCTGGGGAGAACTTGTTGACCTAGTATTTCTTTCTACCAACTGGAAACAGGCAAACAACCTCCCACAACACACGAAACAAAACAGGAGGGCTTTAAGGCACCCCCACAATAGGCAAGACAGACAGGCAGGATAAACTAGATGATGCTCCAAGTAGGATACAGATTCCCCCACACACACTAATACAAGAAATAACTGTTATGAAACTGTAAAATTACTTACCAATAAAAGCATTAGTTCAATTTTGTGAGTATGGCTATACATTTGAAATGACTATGAGGCTCTCCTTGCCTCAGCCTAGGCAGGATCTGTCAGCTTTTTCCTGCTGACCAAGAGGTCACTGCCAACAACCTCCATGGGACTAAAGTGACAATTACCCAACACAAAATTCTTGCCAATATAAGCCAATTTTAGCTCGTTCTGTAAAAACTGGCATGACCAGAACACCTAGCAAAGTTGTGAAATCCTGTCTGACTGCAAGTAGTGTTACATATGACATCTTAAAAATGAACAAGCAAACAAAAACTAATCATATGAAAACCTTATTTTAAGAAGTTTTATAGCCCTCATAATATGAGAGAAAAAGACTAAAAGATGTATATACAGGCATGTCCTCAGTGGTGACCAGCAACAGAACAAGGGGTAACAGGTATAAATTTAAACACAGGCAGTTCCATCTCCATGTGGAGGAAGAACTTCTTTCCTATGAGTGTGCCAGAGCCCTGGCACAGGCTGCCCAGGGTGGCTGTGGAGTCTCCTTCTCTGGAGATCTTCCAAACCCACCTGGATGCCGCCCTGTGCCCCGTGCTCTGGGTGTCCCTGCTGGAGCAGGGGGTTGGACTAGATGATCTCTAGAGGTTCCTTCCCGCCTCAACCATTTTGTGATTCTTTATCTCCTCAAAACTCCAAGTGAAATAACTCTACGAATCACTTAAAACTTGTATTTTTGCAAGAAAGACTTTATTAATGTGTGATCACATATTTTATTAAAGCTAATAAGCCTTACCATTGATTCTGGACAATACTCAGGTGCTCGTTGCAGTAAATGCTTCAAACGTGAATCACTCTTAGAGGATAAAATCTTTTATAACAGAAACAGAACACATTTTAAAACACACAAACATGTAACAAGACATGTAACAACAAATGAGTATTTTTTTCAATGTGACTCCCCCTTTTTAGCTTAAGTTTCAATAAGCCAATACTAGCTACTCTTTGATAAGTCTGGGTAATAGCATGTAACACCTGTAAAATTAATTTTTCCTTTTCTTAATCCCTATGGCTACTCAAATACACTGCTTTTTTTTATAGAAGAAAGCAATTTTAATTTTTTTTTTTTTTTTTTTTGGAAGTGGAGTTTCATCCCCAAAAGCTTCCTTGCAGGAGCTTATTATGAATTGGCAAAGGAAAAAAAAAAAAAAAAAAAAAGAGCATTTGTCCCATCTCCCAAAATATTATGCAACTTCAGGAAAAAGAAAGATAAAGTTCTGCTACATATTATCTCAGACAAGTAAACTCCTTCCAGAAAGCCAGAACAATAACTGATGTGGAATAAAGATGGAAAAAATCCACATTAGCTAAATAAGCTATCAAAACTGACAGGGCAGGGAAGGAGGCGAATACTGCGTGCAGAGGAGCAAGATCAAGTTAAGGACCATCTAAGTGAACGAACTGAACACGAGGCCACTGGACTAGATGGGACGCAACTGAGGGTGCCAAGGGCGAGCCTGCCACTGTAAGTGTCACTGCGTAAGGCAGCCTGTCCACACATCTCAGAGGTCATGGTGACTGGAAGCAACTCCTGACAACTGAAGGGAGACGACCATCGTATCCAGCTAGATAGACCAGAAAGGTAATGTGGGTAATCACAGGCCAGTAAGCCTAGTCTCAGTCCCCAGATTATTGAGCACACACTTCTGAAGCCCTGGAAGGGCACTCTAAAGATAAAAAGGTGACTGGGATCAGGCAGTCGGGACAAATCAAGGCAAATTATGGCTAACAGCTTTCTATAACAGAAAGAAGGGTTAATAAAAAAAAGTGGGCAGCAACTGGCTCTACTCAGCTCTGGTGAGGCCACACCTGGAGTACTGTGTACAGTTCTGGGCTCCCCAGTATAAGAGGGACGTGGAGCTTCTCGAGAGGGTCCAGAGAAGGGCAACCAGGATGATTAAGGGAATGGAACATCTCTCGTATGAAGAGAGGCTGAGTGAGCTGGGCCTGTTTTCTCTGGAGAAAAGACGGCTCAGAGGGGAAATGATTAATATGTATAAGTTCAGGAAGGGAGAATGCAGGGAGGAAGGGGACARGCTGTTCTCACTGGTGGCCAGCGATAGGACGAGGGGTAATGGCCACAAGCTGAAGCACARGAAGTTCCGTCTCCAGGTGAGRAGSAACTTCTTTACTGTKAGGGTGMCAGAGCMSTGGMACAGGCTGCCCAGGGAGGTTGTGGAGTCTCCTTCTCTGGAGGTCTTCAAAACCCGCCTGGATGCCACCCTGTGCCACATGCTGTAGGTGTGCCTGCTTGAGCAGGAAGGTTGGACTAGATGATCTATAGAGGTCCCTTCCAACCTTAAATATTCTGTGATTCCGTGGATATTGTTCATCTTGACTTTTATAAGGATATTACATGGCCTCTCAGTTTTCTCGAACAAAAAAACGGGTGGGATAGGTGGTTTACAAGGCAGCAGACAAACTGACCAGACTCAAAGATTAGTAGTCAGCAGTTGCAACATCAGTCACTTTGACATGGTATAAATCAAGTGCTAAACTGGTAGTGTTGATGGCTTGACTGGGGACATGGACAAAGGAACTGATTAAATCCTCTGCGAGTATACAGAGGATCTAGAATTGGGAGCTGTGGCCAGTGTGCTGGTGCAGAGCTGCCACTCAGATGAGCCCCAACAGGCTGCAGCAACTGCTTGACAAGATGCTCACAAAGTGCCAAGGCAAACGCAAAGCCCTGGCCCTGGGGGGAATAACACCACGCATCACTACGGGCTGGGTGCTCACTGGCTAGGAAGCAGCTTTTCAGGAAAGGTCTAAGGTCCTGGTGGACAAGTAGTCGAAAACAGGTCAGCAACTAGCAATGGCATCGCCAGCGGTTTGAGCAAAGACCATTCCTTTACTTGGCAGCCATGAGGCCAAGTCTGTAATCACATCCAGTTTTGTGCCTCCTCACAACAGTGCTGTTAATGAGCTACAGGGAGTCCAACAGAAAGCCACAAAAGCAGTAGCAAGTGGCAGCAACAGAAATTCTAACTGGGAAAACCAAACAGAAACACTTCACCATGAGAGCAGTTAAACATTGGAACTGGTTCCCAAGTAAGTTTGTAGAAAGTCTGTCCTTGAGGATACTCAGCACTTGCTTGAACAAGGCCCTGGGCAACTTCATTTAAGGTCAAAGCTCACACTCTCCAAGAGGGTTAGGCTAGAGGGACCCCAGAGATCTCTTCCTACTCCTATGCCAGGGAAGTTTTACTTGATCTTATTGACTTTCATGAACAACTCTGAAACATGTGAATTTCTCACCTTTATTTTCTTTTTCATCTCTTTCAGAGTATTTTGTACTATTACGCTCGTCTCGTTTCCTTATGTCAGCAATAATGTTTCTAGTTTCTTAAAATACATCTTTATCTCAATCTTTGCCTTTTTTTTAAAGAAAAAGGATTAACGGTAGTGTTAAATTGAGCTTTCAGCACATTCTAAATTGTTTTCTGTCTTATCTGAAATTATGTTTACAGCTTTTTTTTTTTTTTTTTTTTTGCAACAGTCCAAATAAATGAAACACTTCTAAATTAAAACAGGAAAACAGACAACAAAAAGGACAGGGATAGACATATTGGTGTGGGATATGAAAATGGAAATCCCAGGAATAACAGAAACATGGTTCTAACTTAGAGCCTTCAGAAGGAAAATTAACAGTTTTACTATGAAATCAAGTAAAAGTATTCAACTTGATAAGCTCATAGAAAGGAGAACAATAGGACTCATTTCACAAAAGAGAGCAAGAACAATTGCAGTGGTATTTGGGGTCTTCCAGGGTCACCAAACCATAAAATAATTCAAGCTGGAATGGCTTGCAGAAGACCATCTTAGTCCAATCTCCTGCTCAGAGCAAGTTACCCTATAAGGTCAGATCACATTGCTCAGGTTTTTATTCCAGCCATGCCTCTAAAGTTTGAGATCCCCTGCTATTCTTGTGGTGAAAGAGATTCTCATCCTACCCAGCTGGAATCTTCTAGCTTCAGCTTTTGCCTAATGTCTCCTGCCCTCCTACTATGCACCACTAAAGAGTCTGGCTCTGTCTTCTCAGCAACCCTCTCGGAGGTGTCAGAGGATGCTTTGAGGTGCCCTCTCTTCCACAGGCTGAACAAGCACAGCTTCCTCTGCCTCTTCTCACAAGGCATGTGCTCCAGCCTCCTGACAATTTTGGCAGCCCTGTGTGGCAGCTCAGCTTGCTCCAGCTCACTAGCATCTTACCTTCAGCAAGGAGCCTCAACTTGGATGCAGTGTGTGTTCTAACAAGCGCTGTCTAAAGGCACAGATCATTTCCCTACACCTGCTGGCTCTGCTCTGTTAATGCAATCCAGGATGTGCCCCTTGCTGCCAGCCGCATGGGCAGCTTGTATCCAGCTTGCTGGCAGCACATCCTCTAGGCCCTTTCCAACAGGGTTGCCCATCAACACCCAACCTGTGTTGCTGCAAGGCCTTCTCTCTTCCCTGGTGCAGGACTTGGCATTGAGTTTTCCTGCTGGTTCAACCCTCTGTTCCTCCCTCTGTCCAGGTGGCAGCTCTGCCTTTGAGGTTATCAACCCTTCCTGCCAGCTTTGTGCTATCTGCAAACTCAGTGAGAGCGAAATCTGTTGCCTCCTCCAGGGCACCGATAAAGATGTTATCCAGGACACATTCCAGAACAGGTCCCTGGCACACTCCACTTTTTAATGCTCATTATCTCAAGCCTACTCTCAAGGGAGGCAGTGAGGAGGAGGGGGCGGCCTCTTTTCAGTGGTGGACAGAGATAGGACTAGAGGAAACGGCCACAAGCTGAGGCACCAGAAGTTCCACAGGAACTTGAGAAAACACTTTTTGACAGTGAGGGTGACAGAGCCCTGGCACAGGCTGCCCAGAGAGCTTGTGGAGTCTCCTTCTTTGGAGATCTTTAAAACCCGCTTGGACGCAGCCCTGTGCCACGTGCTCTAGGTGACCCTGCCTGAGCAGAGGGTTGGACTAGATAACCTCTGTGGTCCCGTCCAGCCTTAAGCATTCCATGATTCTATGATTATCCAAGCGGAGAGGTACTACAAACAATATCACAAAAACGGGAAGAAATCTGACAGTAAAGCTCAACGCTTTTTGCCAGACATTCACAATGCCTAATGGAACTCATACAATAAACTGGAAGCTACAAACCATTAGAACAGATGAAAGATTTGGATAGATTATTCCAAATTCCAACTCAATGCAACTAAACCACTTTGATTACATACACCAGACAGTGTTCTTTCTTTCTTGTATATAAGTTTTAACATGATTCTTAAGACTGAATAGTACTTTTGTTTATGCAAAAATTTATGTATAATTTTGGTTACCTGTATTCAAAGAGATAAACTTATGCTGTTGGGATAACTATAGAAACTGAGAGAATATCTTATGTGACAGGCCTAAAAGACTTGTTGTTTGGCTTAACAATTGGAAACCTGAGAGGGAATTTTGTTGCACTTCAGAAAAAAACATGAGGAGGGAAAAGAGAAATTAAAAGATTTTGCTAATATGATGACAAATAGATATAAATTTCACCATACCCAGGTTAAGTGCTTTACTAGCTCCACAATATAAAACAAGGCCAACAAAAGGGAACAAGTATGATTCAAGGACACAATTCTAACACGAAAACTGTATGTCAGCAAAGCGCATATATGTATGTATACACACACACACCTATTTGCATAAAGGTAGGCAAGTTTATTACCCAGAGGTACAAATCTAAATATAAGTTGTATAAAAACATTTTTCAAGCTTAAACTTAGCACAAGTTGTTCTTTGTATTACTATATGAATAAAGTAAACAGATTTTTGAACAGTATTCATACATAGTCATTTATCCTAGCCCTAATTTTGCTACATCATCAACTACAGGCATGATTTCAAAGCTGAAGGACAAACTAAATTTAAAATAAGCTTACCTGTTCACAAACATCACGACACATTAAGTTGTCCTTTGCATGATAACAACAAGACAAGCCTATGGAAAAGCAAGGGGGGAGGAAATAGGTTTAAAAGGTTTGAAGCACTTAACTCTCCCTTCCCAACAGAAGCACCCAACTGATGGGTCATCAGGTCATCTTAGCTACTCTACAGCCCACTGGGAGAAATTTTCCTTCCCAGAAGGCAAAAAGAATTTGAAAAATTTTTGTGCTGAAGTAGATTCAAACCAGCTTGTCCAGCCTCCCAGAATCACACCCAAACTTTCACTGCCACCCAAAGGAGGGCTCAGTGGCCTTGCCTCTACTTGCAGCCACACGGCTGCTATTTACCATGCACTTCATTTGGCACCTGCCAAATCCCTTCATGACTCAATTCAATTTATTAACCTAGGAAAAAATAAAAGTGAATAAGGTGATTAAAAAAAAAAGGTGTCTGTATGTCTTTGTGAGTTGAACTGGTTCACAGAAGAATCAAAAAAAGTGAAAGAAGCAATCAGGAAAAGGAAACCGGGAAAAGGAAGCAGGAGCAGGAGCCCCACTACACACAGTGGTGAACACAGCTGCAGACTGAACTTTGTTTTCTTTAAAGGTTAGAACAGAGCTGTAAATTACTTCACTAGCGATGGATGACCAAGAGAAGTTTTGCTGATCTAGATGATAGATAAAGGACAAACATATATGAACACCTCAGGAAAACAAGTAAGAACTAAAGCACTGAGAATTAAGAAGCACTCAGATTTTTAAAAAATGCATCTTTAAAGCATCATCTGTTGTGTTTTTCTCCCCCTACCAACCAAATAATTTCTTCCTCATTTCAGAGTTCACTTTGGCTAACAAAGTGCATTGCACAACTGCTTGAGACACCTTTTCATCCTCATACTAGCTCTGGGAATTTTTCTAACAAATGTCTTAGAAAGGAGAATTTCCTTCAAAGCTCCTTTTATGTCTAAATACATCTCCACATACTAGTTTTCACACAAATATATAAACCAGAGTACATAACCCTCCCTCCAAATCCCAAACTTCTAATGACTACATATTTCTGCTCAGTTCTATCTGAACTAAATACCACACCAATAAAAATCTGTACAATTTTACCAAATATATGAAGTAATATTTCATAACACACAGTCACCAGTTCTAAACAGATTCCTACTGAACCAACAACATGCATTTTTAAAAATAATTCTTCAATAAATCCAAGCTTACATCTGTTTTCATCTGAAAGCTTGTAGCTATCGCAGGAAGGTAGCCTGTCTAAAAAGTAAATCCACCATCAAATCCAAAATTCTCTAATATTAAACTGACAGGAAAATAACCCTGGAACATTTAAGCCTGAAAATGTCAAGGAAATGGAAAAGAATGAGAGAGAGAGGGAGAGAGAGAGGGAGAGAGAAAAGGTTGTCTGAAACAAATTCCATCACAATATAAAATGGCTACTACAGATTCAAGTTATACTTTTATGTAGAAAACTGCACTTTCTGAAGAGGAAACAGGACAAAGCAGAGCAGAGCTTGTAATTGGTGAATATTTCCATTAATAAATAGAAACAACACAGCCAAATGCTTGCAATAAACGAAGGCAGCAGTAAAATCCTGCTTACAACACAACAGAATGAAAGAATGAAATTGTAAAATTGTCTTTGATGGTTTTGCCATTTTCCCACCATCACAGAAAAGGATAAACAGATGTTGCTGATGGCTTCAGAAGTCTTCTGCTTTGAGGAAGACCCACAGGACTCTGCGGATTTCCCTCCACTAAATCCAGCCAGCTGATTCATGCCAAGAACCAGACTCACCATTAACAGGTTCCACCACACTCAAAATTCAGTAACCGTTTTACTTAGCTAAATAGCTTTTTTATCCCCCTTACAAAGCCACAGCATTAGAAACTTACAAAGATTAAAGTCCCTGAAAGTTTAATGGCATACATCAGTAAGATTTGAGTTTATGAATATCCTAGACAACTTTCATTTAAAGCCTCCTTCACAGAGAGGGTTTAATAAACTCTAGCCTACTGGCCACTGCTTTTCAGTGGCTCTCAACCCGCTTACCATCAACTAACATGTAAGGAGGATAATTCTCCATCTACCACTTCTACAGCTGAGTTTCAAGTCCGATCAATTACAGTAGTGAGGGTCACAAGGAGATAACAATATGCTAAACCTTGCAGGCATTCAATTCCTTTCAGACAAAATTCTAATTAAGTGACGGCATCCTGATTTAGCAGGAAATTTATTTGGCTATACTGAGCTGAAGTTATCCATCCCAAGCACCATTCTCAAACCTTCCCCACAGTCAGTCCCTTCTGAAATAACCTTACGACATCTCTCCAGTCAGTCTCTTATCTTGCTACTCACACTTTACTAGTCACATTTTCTCTGGTTTTACTAACAGTTTTCCAGGTTTCCTTTCACAACTTCACTCATGCTCAACTAATGAGAAACATTACGCTTTCTTCCCCGACAGGATCTGCTATCTCAGCGGTATGAGATTAGGTTTTCCAAGGGACAGCTGAGCTAGACCATGTCTTATTACATTCCTGTAGCTATTTTCTGTTTTGTTCTTTTTTCCTCCCTAAAAATGTCTTTACAGAATGAAGAACTATAAAGCAACACTATAACACATGTCCATAAACGATTAAAGATCGAGGACTTAACACTGTGTGATAAATACTTAATGTAATTAAGTATTACATGGTCCATGTCTTTCATTCCTGCCAGCACTGCCAATGCAATCCATTAATTAAGGCAGGAAGTCAGCTTCGAAGACGGCTTTAATGTGGGCAGCTCTATTTTACCACCATACTTCTCTGCATTAAACATCTGGCCTTCACTTTTTTTTTTTTTTATAACCCACTGCTATTATCCTCACCGAAAGCTCGAGCAGCACTATTTTAAGATTGTTTTTGACACAGCTAATCTTTACTTATAACTCCGTCTCCACACGGGGGCAACGGCCGCCTGGCCCCGCGCATCTGGTAACGGTAACGGTGCCCCGAGCGCTCGGCTTCCCGCTCGCTAACGGGGCGCTTCTCCCTCAGCGGGAGGGCGGCGAAGGCGACGCGGCCGCTCTCCGCCCTGACAGCGGCGCGGGCAGCGCGGGAGCGCCCGGCCTCACCTGCCGCGGCGCGGGGCGACAGGCGGCCGCGGGGCAGGTGCGGGGGCGGCGGCAGGGCCACCCCCGCGCCCCGCTCACCCCGCGGCGGAGGAGAGCAGCGGGCGGCCGCCCCGCCGCGGGCTTCGGCGCCCGGCCTCGCCCCTGCGCCATGTTGCCGCGCAGGGACCCGCGCAGCCGCCTCGCTCCCCCGCTACTCACCGGCCGCCGCGGGGCAGAGCAGCGCGGCCGCCGCCGCCAGGCAGGGCAGGGCCCAGCGCCACGGAGCGGCCCTCGGCGCCATGGCCCGCCCG